ATCGGTTCCCCCTTTGTACCCCACCCTACCTCCACCCTCCCAGTATCGCTACTCTCACCACTGGTCCTGAAGGGATCATCTGCCCTGGATTCCCTGTGTTTCCAGTTCCCATCTGTACCAGTGTACATGTCTGGTCTAGCCAGATTTGTAAGATAATATTGGGATCATGATAGTGGGGGGGAGGCATTAAAGAACTAGAGGAAAATTGTATGTTTCATCGTTGCTACATCACACCCTGACTGCCTCGTCTCCTCCCCACAACCCTTCTGTAAGGGAATGGCCAATTAGTTCCATCTTAATTTCTCCTTGTAAGACAAAACAACCAACAACAAAATAACACTATTTAGGTTGGAGGGATAAGGATAAGACTTCTATTATATTTAAGGGATTTAAACAACCAATTAATTTTATTATATTATCTATACTATTCAATCACATTCTATGGGTTTTTATTATCTTTCACTTGTATAAATTGTGTCAAACATATTCTTTGAGGATTTTTACTTTTAGGAAAAATTCGTCTTTATTCTATCTGTATTCTTCTCCCAGTTTACCTGTTCTCCAGTCTCTTCAAATTTTGCATGACATTAAAGACACTTGTTACAACATAAAATAATTTTTTAAATGACTGATTTTTAATAGTGGGTGTTTATTTTTCCTCCTGTTTAAAAATAGAGCTCTTTTTCCCCACTTCCCTTCTAAAGAAGATACTCGTTCTGCTGTAGAATAAGAAGCAATCTCTTTGATGATCTCCTTTTAAAAGCATAAACAGATATTATAATCCAATTACCTTTAGAAAGAAATTGAATGTACCTAATGCCAGTCCGAATGAACCTCGGTACTTAGAATCTAGCAGAACATTTAGTAATATTTAGTTCATTGTGCATGTCATCATATTCAGTTCAGTATGTAGCATTTCATGAACTCCAAGGCTGTTTTGGTTTTCTGACTCTCATTATTTACTAAGCACTGTGGAGTGAGCCTCACTTGAAAACCCATGTGTATCAGCCACAGATCCTAGTAAATATGGGGAATGTGGATACTCATAGTCCCAGTTCAATTTCTACCCTTCGTCAAAGAGTATTGATTTTCACCAAGCTCAAGACCACTCACAACCAAGAGCACAGAAACAGGAGCGAGTCCGATGTATCTGTTGTCTCTTCTGTGTTCTCACAAGAGCTGGTTTTCCTGCTGGAAAATAAAACGACAGGTTGCAGGACTCTTAGAACAAACTCCAGGAGGCTACCTTCCTCCGCAGTCCGGGGGGTGGGGGGTGGAGGGGCAGTCAAGAATATTGAGTGGCGGGAGGAATAGTTAAAAGTCAACCCCAAATCAGAATTTTCAACCTTTCTTATTGTGGTTTGGGGACAAGATGATTTTGAGCTTTCCTGTCACAAGCCAGTAGAATTCGCTTTTTTTAACGAGTGAAAGACCGTTTCTTATGAACAGAAGAGTTTAATTTCTAGTTGCGATGTTATTAGTCATCACTGACTTTGACCTACCTTGCTTGTTTTGCAGCCCCGGAATCTCAGACTGTGCCACCTTCACCATCAGCTAGAGGTAATAGTTTGCTTTAGTGAGTGAAAACACGGCATTTTTCTTGAGCATTCTCTGTGTGCAATTTAAGGGTCCCTGGGGCATTCATATGGTGAATGTGCTCAGCTGCTAACCTACAAATTGGAAGCTCGAGTCTACTCGGAGGGCTCAGAAGAAAGTCTTAATAACCTGCCTAAAAATTTTTTTTAAAAGCCATCGCAAACCCTCCTGAGCAGAGTTCCGCTCTGACACACATGAGGGGGTCATGACCCGGAAAACCCTCAAGGCACCTAAAACTGGTGCTTTGTCCTTAGCTTCCATTGCACCTGTCCGGCAGACCCTTTTTCCCTAGCCATTTTTGCAGAAGAATCACTCTGCATGCACTGACTGAGCAGGGCTCTGAGAGCCCCTGTAAGAGGCACTCCTCTTTGACCTGCAAACATGAGTGTGGGCTCGACACATTCTTGGTTGTGCTGGTATTTGGGGCAGCTATGTCTTGGGCTTTCTCTAACTTCTTCACTCCTAGTGAAGGGCCATGGCTTCCCCACGGTATATTTGTGCTCTCGCTTGTGGAAATGTTTTCCCTCCTTTCGAAGCTCTGACATGTTTGCAGATTCTGTTGTTTCCACTATGGTCTTCCCAGATCTCGTAGACCCCAGTCCGTCACTAGGAAGTCCATCGAAAGAGAGAAAGTAGAACCATCTCCACTCTGAGTAGGTTCTTCTAAGATAACAGAGAGTGTATTCTACGTGGTGGCATCCTTGCCAATGATCCAAGTTTTCCTTTCTGAAGTGAAGCGCGGTTGTTTTATTACATTCCCATCTTCCAGATGAGAATCATACCTCGGTTTTTCCATCTCTCTTTCCAAACTTAACTAACGACTATGCTTTTGTTCATTCTGTCTAAAAGCACAGCAATCTAGTTGAAATTTTATGTGGGTAAATAAATGTTTGACCACTCATAGTTGTGGAACCTGGTAATTAAAAGTCAAGTATATTCCGTATTTAAATGCACCTCATCATTTCTTCCTTTAATTTTGATTCTCTCTGGTAAATTTTTTATGCAGTCTCGGGACCTGGAACAGGGGGAAGCGAACCTTCGACAACTACATTAGGTAATGCCGTCGTCGAGTGCCCTCTCTTTCTCCTTTTTCTCACGATTGATGTCTTCACGTTAGAGAAAACTATGTTAAAGAGAATATGTAGAAAACAAAAGCTTATTCACAAGCTGAATTCTTACATCCCGCCTCTTAGTGGAACTTCCTAAAGCACTCCGTTCACTTCTTTGAATCTGGGGCAAAGTTCTGCTCACTCAATATCCTCAACTAACCCAAACTTCATGTAATAGGAGAGCTTGTATTGCTTGGCTCATATCGAAAAACCTACATGTTAATAACCATTTTAAATGCATATTCTCTATTCTTGTTTTCAAAGAAAAAGTTTCAATCCTGTCTTTTTAATAAGTGTGTTTCATAAAAAGAGCCACCCCTTTTAAAAGCATATCAGTGAATTCAGAGCCTGGTCTCTTATCTTGGTTTGTGGATTTCCTTAATGGTAAATGAAAAACGTGACCGTTTTGAAACTGAGATTAAACAGAATATGGATTTTCATCTCTAGAGGTTTCTTAAAAGCCACCTTGGTTAGGCTCCTGTGGGACACACTGCTGCATAGGTTGTTGCAATGGCATTCTCGTAGCTGTGCAGGAGTTTGAGATTTTCCGTCTTAACATAGAGGGATAGAAGAATCTCTTGAACAATCATCGTTTTTAGGACCTCATCCAACTGAGTGAATTACAGTAGAAAGACGTGTAACTAAATGAAAGAGAAGGGCTTGATTGTGCTTCTGAAAGATAAATAGCCTGGTCCGGGTACAGGACCACCCCTGCTGTAGTAACTAGCTCACTTTCTTTCTTCAGCTTCCAAAAGGAGGAAACCAAGTCATCGTCGCCACCCGAAAACTACACGTAGTCCCAAAGTGCCCAAGACCAGACCTGGTAATTGTGGTGTTCGGGGCTGCAGTGGACACAGAAGGAGAAAGGGCTTTAGGGACAGGAATATTGAATTTATAGGTGTACGCAACTGAGCTTGTTTTCTGAGTCCCTGGGTGGCGCTAACAGTAAAGTGCTCGACTACTAACCAGTAAGTTTGCATATTGACCCACTTGGAGGCCCCTCGCTGGACAGGCCTGGCAACCTGACCTCCCTGTGGGGCAGGTCAGCTCTGCGTGCATCGCACCACTGTGCATGGGGCCCAACTCAACAGCAAGGAGCCGGGCGGTGGTTTGGCTTATTCATAGTGTGCACCGTTATCAGGTACACACAGCAGTAACCTGACTCACTAAATACGTTCGTTAAAAATGTACCATCGAAATCTCTACGATACAATTTCATGGTAGATGGGGTAGAAGAACACCAACAAGGGGGTGGGGAGGGGGGAGGAGTCAGTGGAATAAGTAAAAATCACACTCAGGAGAGTGCTTCACAGGGAAGATGTCCTGGCTTGGGGACTCGTGTCCTTCACAATGCTGCAGCATGGTGTGACGGGTGCCTTTGTTCCTGTTTTGTTTTTGCTGTTGTAGCTCTGGAACCTGCTACCCTGAGGCCGCAGCTCCTGGTGCCCACAATCGGTAATGCCTCCCCTCTGATAGCTCTCGGGAGGGCTCCCTTTGGCTCTCCCCACTCTCCTCGCAGGCCTGACGGCGGCGGCGGTCCTACCACCCCATTCCTGTTTCCGCTCCCATTCTTTCTCTGGGTCCTGGGAGCCTGAGAATAGCAGAGCTCTTTGGATGAATGCTTCCGGGGAAGAGCTCCTTCAGGGAAGCGCTGTGCCCTTGGGCACAACTTCTGGGTTCTCCTACAGCCTCTGTTCTTCATCGCACATGTCCTCGTGTTGAGCTAGTCACCGCTCTTTCTCTCCAAGGGACTTCATGCTTGTCCTGTTATTTTTTAAATTCAAAACGACCAAAGTACTTACTTCCTAAAAGTCAAAACCATGGATGTGCCACCAACAGTCTGTTAGACATAATTCCCATTACTTTAGTTTGCTTTAGTTCAGTTTTTTGTTTTTGTTTAGTTTTCTTTTTGTTTGTTGGTTTTGAAATGTTGCTTTAAAATATTTATAAGCTTCCATAGCATATAAAAGGTGGAAACCCACAAAGCGTGATTTTATTGATTCTTAAAAGCGGCCACATTGATGCTTACATACTAAATAGGCAAACACATGTGTAGAAAATAAGAAAATTTCATATCTGATGGCCTGAGAAATTCCTTTTCTTAATGCATTATTAGGCCTTGTTTTATGAATTTTGATTCAGAGTGATTGGAGCCCTGCTTTTTTTCTGTATCTAGGTAATTTTTAAAAGTAACTTAGTAACCATAGCCAGGCAGAAATTTAAAAAATATTGGTAATTGTTTATTGGCTTTTTAAAGCAGTAACTATGAACTGATTTCCCACCAAATAAGAAGGCACGTACATAACAGTTCTGAAAATTCAACAGCTTTGATGTTAAACATTTCTCCCAAGATGCCAATCAGTGCACAATGCTGATTGACTTAGGAAATGTGTCATAAGAAGCCTATCTAGAAGGTGATTTATGTCAATTTAGAACAAACCAGTTTGTTACCTCAGCATTAAGAATCAGTATGCACCTAACAGTTCAGCCTTCCCACCTCCATTACTTACATCTCTGTTTTTCCTGGTGTAGCCTTTGATCCTGCTACCTCTGAAATCAAGTCCTTCAATCACCGTAGCTCCGGTCCCTTGGACTCGGTGCGTCGTAATTCTCTGAGCTTGTTTCTCTAGTCCTTTTGTCATGATCTGTGTCCTCCTGTTCCTTTTGTTGTTGTTGTTCGGTTTGTTTCTCTCGTGTAGTCTTCAGACTTGTTGATCCAGTAAAACCCATGAAAGCCAGAACTCGGTGGACGTCCTTATTCATCCGAGTTTCCCACGTGGTCCGTCCCCTCTGGCAGTGCAGTCGGAGCGCTTTTCCGTCACCCATCTGGAGAGTGTTTGCACGTTCCTTCTCTGACGGTGTCCACCTCACACCGGTCCTCGCTTTCACAGGCCTTATGATATCCTCAACAAGGGCCATTTCAGCATCCAATTAGGCCCTCTCACATCTGCTGTCAGCGGCTGACACCTGCATGCGTCTGTTTCTTGGTCCCCTGGAGGGGCATTCCATGGCATTTTGATGCCATCACTATGCACAACCAGGGAAATTCAGTCTCCTTATAAACGTGTTATGAATTTGCTGATGACACCTTTCAGTGTTATAGTTAATCTCTCAGATTTAATGAAAAAGAAATGGAGACACAAACTTAACATCACAGAGTTGTGGTTCTTAATTTATTGTCTATGAATAATTGCATCATTTCATGATACCCCTACTCCTCTTACCAACTCTCTATTTGAGAGTTTGCATTGATGATAATAGTAATAATCATTTGCACTCGTGGCTTGCAGACGGCAGTAACAAATATAAAAAGAGTGCCCTGAGAGTAAGACACACCAACTCTGGAGGAAGGGTTATCCGTCAGGTTGGCTGAGCCAGGATCCTCAGTGGTTTGGCAGTCATGTCATGAGATCCTTTGGGAGGTTTGTAAGGATATGGTCCTCCTCTATTGTGTGGTCTGAAGTGCCATCCTCCATTTCCACATGCTAACGTACTCTTTGTTACCTAACCAGGTCAAGAAATGAGGAGTGACTGAGTGAGAGAATTACAGAAAGAAAGCCTATTTACCCGGATGAGAAGTTGAATAATTTGACGCTTCAGAATTTCTCTTCTGTTTCCTGCCTGAAACATTATCTCGTTATCATTTGAAATGGATAGTTAGAGACAGTATCACGTTTATTACAAAGTTGTCCTTCTGTAATTCCCACAACTCTCCAGCCGGATACCTGCGGTGCAGATATTTTTCTAATCCTCCTCACCACTGCCAACTCTCAAAACAAATCATAGTAGTGGTTAAAGCCTATCAATTACCAATAATTTACCAGAGTAATTTGAAATTACATTCCAGGCTATGGAAAGAATTTTCTTGAGGTTTTCAATGTGGTTAGAACCAGGTAATTGAACACAGAAAAAAACATTTCCCATAGTCGTCCTGTAGCAAAGCGCAAAGGTGATGGTGATCTTATGAGATAAGTAGACACCAGACACTTGTCAGGTCTTTGGAGGACAAACAGCCTATTTTTCTGGAATTCAGAAATGCCTTTTAAACACTACAGGGTTGAAAAGATTAGTTTTTAAGGTAATTTTATTGCTTTCTTTGTATTTTGAAAATCTCGCTCTCTTTTTAAATTGTATTGCTTTCTGATCAGTTCCTGCCACATTGAATCTGCCACTGTGCGAGCCGAGGCGCCAGGAGCTGCTTTACGTAATGGCTTGGCTGCCATCCCGGGTCTTTTCTGCTCACCACCCTGTCTAGTCCATCATCCTTTGGGTCTAAGAGTTTTCTTTCATACAAGTTTTTCATCGTCCTCTCTCATCATTCAACTACGTTCTTCATCTTGAAGACACTGAAGAGGCTTCAAAGAAGCTACTCGGTCATTATCGGCAGCTAGGGCACGGCATTTACCTCCCACACAATCCAGGATCCGTTACGGTTCTACAGTCGTGATTCTGTTCAAACAGTGCTCGAGGTTAAACCTGAGTCTCAATCTGATTGGTACGCTCTGGCCTATAAGCATCAAGTCCAGTTATCTGAACATCTTGCCCTGTGTTGTTCTAAGATATGCATTTCTGTTGTCTAAGAACTTAAATGTGCTGGTTGTACTGGTGTTGAATGGAATGTGTGCCTGAGCCAATAAAGCTGGAAGTGCAATCTCCCCAAAGCAGGCAAGCCTGCATCCTTCTGGGACTCCCTTGGGGCATGGTCTTCTCGGAAAGCCTGATCATAAAGCCTTTAGATTAGTAAAATAATGTGATGTATTCTGTCTCCTCCAAAGGACTATCACTAGGCAAACAAACAAAAATGTGGTGGGGTGGGGGGGGGATGAATAGAGTTGACCAAAAGAAAATTCCAAACCAAATAGTTACCTACTTCACCACTCAAGAAACTATAGCAAAGTTTTAGAAAACCTGGAGTTAGGAGTGATTCTTTCTTTTGTTTCTGGAGCTGTGAGACTACAATAACTAGTTTTCTTTCTTTAGTTCCCCAAACAACACAAAGAACACAAAAACGTCGCCCACATCCCAAACATAAAACCACACCGCGCCCAGTGGCATCTCCGACCAAACTAGGTAAATATGGGGTTCCTGGTCCTGGTGGGATCCCACTCGCTGTGATGGGGGTGGGGGGGTGGGGGGTGGTGGTGCAACGTTCACAGAATAGTCCCTAGGCCCCTTAAAGGAGAAGTTCCAGAACTGGAAAGTGTTGTGGTGATACCTGGGTCCCCAGACTTCTTTATGCTGCTTACAGAGGACTCTCTTCAATCGGAACATTTTATTTGCTTCTCTAAACACTCAATTTTTCTTTTAGATTCTGACTCCTTAAACATTTGTTTAGCTAAATACCTACCTATCATGTTGGTTCAAACTGCCACACATTTATTAAGCGCAGCACTGGCAGTTAATATTTTAGAATCTTAACCAACTACCGTGAGGACTGTGTCAGAAATAATAAGTGACTTGGGTTGGTTGAGGAAGGAAGGTGCTCTAGGGTAAAGCAGTCAAGAAATAGGAACAAAGAAACGTGGGCAAAAGCAACGTACAAGGAGACTTCAAAATCTCCATGGAAAATGGCATTAAAAGATAATGCGATTTCTCCGTGAACTTTCTCAACCCCCTCATCGTCATTGTTACTAACAATGATGAGGCATGTGGTTAATCCTGGGCAATGATGTGGACCTTGTAGATTTGTTCAAAGGATGGGCACCAATGGTACAAACTGAGGCAGGAAGGGGCTGTTACCTGTGAGGGCCACAGCAGAAAGAGGAATGATAAGTCAACCTACTTGAGAGAAAGACAGCATTCACTTAGCAAACGCTAAGAAATTCTGATGGGTGATGCTGTTCTTGAGTGAATCCATAAAAAATGGCTTTGAATGTCTCACTTGAGCTGAATGGTTACTTCCAGGGTCAGGCTTGTTCTGTCCTAGGGACAGAGATGCATGAACAGATCCCATGGACTAAATGACCCTGTCTTATTCTTTTGTATGCCTTTGTTTGGACAAAGTGGCTCGGCATCAGAAAAGAGCAAACAAAAGATCCTCTGTGGTTATCCATTACTGTTTCTACTGAAATGTGCCAATAACTGTGCCCATCCTGGCCAGAGCCCCAGAGGACTTTGCTTCCCACTGTGCACTGTTAACACAGTATGCCCGGACCTTGTTTTCTAGTCACTGTTAGGCATGCTCTTATTTTAGTAAGGTTTTCCATTGCATTACCAAGGAACATGCAAGCGCCACAGATGGTTGTGTAGGGTTAACAGACAATGTAAGTTGGGCAACACATCATTATCAAGTTCATCAGTGCTCCAACTGATGTAGATTTCCAGGATAATTCTGTATCAATCCATCAGGAAATTGGAACAAAAATGTTTGATGGGTTGACGATTATGTCAGAATGCATAAATCTTAAAGAGAGCGATATAAACTCCACACTTGTAAAGAAGAGAATAACAGAAATCTTGCGAAGACAGCCACAGGATCAGTGAGCCATGAGCGGAAAACCGCTGGAGTCTTAGAAAGAGGACATGTTCATGGGCCCCCATGGTTCTCTGGAAGGAGAAGTTTCCAGTGTCTCACTGAGCCTGATCCCCTGAGAATGATGGTGTGGAATGAGGCAGATTCAAAAGGCTGGCTGGAGTTTAAGACATAGCTATAACTTCTTAAATTACACACACACACACACACACTCAAAGGGGCTTCAGAAGTTGATGGAAACATGGAATTAAAAAAAATGATTTAAGTCTCTTCCTCTGTGTGTGTGCGTGAGAGAGAGAGAGAGAGAGAGAGAGAGAGAGAGAGATTAAACAGCCCCTAGGCTTTCGACATTGGATAGTCTTTAGGGTTATGGGCACGTGAGTGCTCCCTGGTTCCATAAAGCAAAGCGTGTTCTTCTAGCTCACGTTAGCAGGTGTGCCGTTCCTATTGCAAGGCTACGACCATTTGTAAGAACAAGTGTCTATGCGCCCGGTGCTGTGCGTGGCCAGCATAGCTCTGGCTGTACAGTCAGAAGGAAAGGGAAAGAAGTGAAGTTCATTTTCAAGAGATTTGAATGACTTATCATGTGTTTGACGTTTTTCCCTAACACTTCTTGGTACAGGCTTTGAACCTATTACTCCTGGGACATCTTTAGGTAATGATTTTATTTTCGCAAGTACTTTCCCTGTTCACTGTCAACATATCTAAGTTGCTATATATATGGCTGTTTCCCCATTTGTTGACATGCTGCTAACTGTGTTCATGTTAAAATTCTGAAGGTGCTCTTATTTTTAATGGAAATATTCATACAGACTTAAGTCAAGACAGCTATTTGCTATATATCCCAGCTTGAAATTTCACAATATCCATCTGCATTCTTTTTAAACAATATTGTTAGAGGCTGAAGTTCAAATATAATTCCACATATACTCATAGTTTCCTGATACATATCCTTTGATTTGGTATCTAGTATGACACCATGAGATTTTTTTAAACATCTTGTTCTTCATATTTTAATTCCTATATTATTTTCTTCTGTAAAATTTTGTTTATGTATCTTAGTAAATCATTAAGTAAGACATATAGACAAGTCTAGCTATTTTGTTTTATAAACAAATGCTATAGAATTAGTTTCTTGCATACTATCATAGTGATTGGTAATCTGATGTAGGATCGGGATAATTTAAAATGATCATTTTTAAGCTCCAGTCAGAGAATCTAAGAAGCTCTAGGGATCTAGGAGCCAGATTATTTAAACATATTCACAGTTTAGTGAGCCAAAGCACCATGTTAATCCTACATTTTTTTCTTCCTCAGCTCCAACAACAGCAAAAGTGGCCCATCATCTACAACCCAAACCTAAACCCACGCCCCATCCAGCTGTCCCTCAAACCAAACTGGGTAAATATGTGGCTTCTGATTCAAGGAGTCTGAGAAGTTACCCTCAGTTGGGCTCCTAAATTCTATGCAAATATTTCGGGGTAATGCATGGTAACGATGGTGGACAAATTCACTTGTCTAGAAAACTACCATCTTTTAAGAGTAAATGCTACTTGTCAGCTTGGGAATTTTGCAAGAGATGTGTGAGACAGCCAAGTACTTAGTGTTTCCTTAATTGTTCTTTATTCACGATCATTTTATTTATTCTTTTTACTATTTGGTTCCATTCACACTCTAAAGCTGAAGCTTAATCAGAAAGCATTGAGTCAGTAGAGTTAGCTCTTGTCCACTCCCTTAATTAAGCCCTGTTAGCAGCGATGGGATACACTGACAGTACGAGGGGTCTTACGTCCCAAAATCTGTGTACCACATTGGTGGGAAAGAATGAAGACCGTCAAGTGTATTCACATGGGAAATAATTTCTTAAATGGCCTAAATGCATGTTATAACTTGCTAAATTTGTGGGGAGGAAAATAGCCAAGGAACTAAGGAAGAAATGAGTCCAGAATTGGGATGAGTGGAGAGACAAGGGAACAAACACTGTCCTGGGCTCCCTGGACAGAGGATGATTTACATGAAAGAAGACAAGCAGGGGTGATGCTTGCCTGTTCAGTGAGTGGGTCCACAGGATGGGTTAGAAGGATGCTATGGTGTCTATCTAAAAGCTTAGCTTTGATCCAGGGGGGTCTAGTGGTCCTTATCTATGCATATGCTTGGGCTTTTTCTGTCATGGAAGTGATGGTGCCCTGCCTAAGGACACACACTGAGAAGCTGTGCTTCCTCTTCCTTTGTCAACCCCACCCTCAACGGGCAGGAAGGCAGGAATTGTTAGGGGCCACCTTAAGATCTGTCTGTCTGACGCTGTGTTTCCTTTCAACCATATGAACTGTTTATTGCACCAGTATGATTTTTATTGGTCTTTATTTTGATTTTTTTGGCTTTCGTATAAGTGTTAGTTGGTGTTCACCGTGTCTTTTTCAAAACAAACAGACCAAGTCTGCAATGGTTTTATGGGGTAGAGGCTTCCATTTGTCACGTCAGGTAATTCATTACCCCATGAGATTTTACTTGGGACTGCTGTGAAATCCAAAGACTGTCTTCTGAGTTAAATGAGTACTTGCTGAAAGGTTGGGGAAATACTCAAAAGAAAAACAAAAAACCTTTCACTTGCTCTAGAGTTAGGAATAATTTTAAAAGTCGCTTTTGCAGCCTTGAAAGCCTTATTTTTACTGGTAAGATGGCTTTTCGGATATTTGATGCACTCACAAAATCTCTTTGATTTATTTTATGCCTTCTGATCAGTTCCTGCCACAGTCCTTGAACCAGTTTCTCTTAGAACTGATGCTCCAGAGGCAACACTAGGTAATGCGACCTGCAGCTCCCCAGGCCTGCTTCTCGTGTTCATTTCAGGGCCTTCGCGTCACAGCTGTGGCTTCTGCTCCCCAGGCTCTGTGTCACCCTCTACTGCGACCCAACTGCTTCCTAAAACATTAAGCTGCGTGAAAAGAACTCCTTATTTGTTTGTTCGTTTAAGCGGTCCAAGCATGAGCTTATTCATTCAGTATGCCTGTCTGCAACGTAAAGTCTGAATTTGTGGCACCTCACCTTCAAATAGCCTTCGGTCAGCATTCTCCGTGCCTAGTCCTGTGCTCGGGACTGAGTACATTTTAATAGCTCTTATGATGGCCAACTTCTTTTGCAGATCTAATGGCCAACATTTTGACTGCCTGCATGATTTAGTTTCTGTTGGTTGCTTAAGAGAATTACATGATACTGTTTCAGGTGGCAGTGAAATAGAAAATATACACAAGGCTAGGACATGTAAATGATCATCAGCACCACCACCTGAGCCTTGGTGGCGCAGTGGTTAGAGTGCTCAGCTGTTAACTGAATGGTCAATGAGTTGATCCTGCTGCCACTCTGGGGATATGGCGGAGCAGCCTGCTTCGAAAAGATGTACAGCCTTGGAAACTATACGGGGTACTTCTAGTCTCTCTAGTCTGTCCCACTATCACTCAGGATCCACTTGAGGGCAGTGGGTTTCGTTTGGGGGGTTAAACATGAGCATTGGGGTGAGATTTACTCTACTTCTTATACCCACCATGACAACATATTAAGTTCTTTTTCATATAAAAGTGCCTTGAGAATCTCCTCAGAAAAGCCTGGTTACAATCATTTTGAGTTTCTGTGTGCCTTTTATTCCTCAGAGAAATATGCATATAAATGATATGGCGAGAGAGATTAGCCAAATAAGGATGATTACTTTGACCTCCAAAGAAAAATCTCCTGAAACAGGTGTTAAAACAACCATAATCCTATCTACCTCTTCTGGGACATCGCTTTATTAACCTGAGGTTTTTTCCCTTCAGCTCCCCAAATGCCTCAACGACCTCGCCATCCATCTCGCAAGCGTAAACCCACACCAAGTCCACCACTGCCTCACCCTGCACTCGGTAATTGAACTGATGCTGGCTAAGGAAGCCTTCCCGGGGAAAGCGAAGGTGCAAGTCGTGGTTGGCATGTGCTTCAGTTCCGGACGAGGTGGTTAAAACCTGGTGGGGAGGTCCATGTAGTGGCTGGATCCCTCCCAATTTGTGAATTCTAACCTTTTCTCTAAATAGTCATTGAATCTTCTCACGCAGTTCTATATCCTTTACGAACTGAACATGGGGATAGATCGGAGCAGCTAGAGAATGAAATGTCTCTTCATGCAAATGGGAGATTATCTCTTGATAGCAGCAAAAGTTCCAGGAATCTCTGGATGACACAGTTAGCTAAGTGCTTGGCTATCAGTGAAAGACTGATGGTTGAGATCCACTAAGAGGCGCCCGGGAAGAAAAGCCTGTGCTTCTGTGTAAGGCCATATGCATTGGATCCCTTTGTGCAATTCTACTCTTAATCCATGAGCGTGTCACGAGTCGTGAACTTGATAGCAACGGGTAACCATTTTTCTTAATCTGAGAGGGTGGAATCAAAAGAATGACACGAGCCACGAAGTCACTACAGATTTGGATGACTTAGGCTCTTTTTCTAAAGATGGGTTTTCAGTAGGATGGGCAAGGTCTACTCTGGTGCATTACTTAGACTCCACTCCTCAAAGACTGGGAAACATTCGCGTGACTAGTTGCAGGGACGGTTCTCTGAGTGCAAAGTGCATGAGTAGCTTCCTAAGAGAGAAACCGGTGCCTGTGTGCAGAAGTACCAAGTCACCTTGGCTCTGAAGCTTAATAGTATTTGCTTTGTCCTTTTAGAAACATTATTATCCCTTTGGGGGAGTGTATTGAGCTTGATACATTGTTGAGATTTCTTTCTCTCCCCCCACCCCCTTGTTATTTTTGCTCTGTTCCTGTTACAGTGCTTGAACCAGTCACTCCTCTAAAAGAGGCTCCGGGTACAGCCTTTGGTGCCATCCCTTTCTGACCTCCCTCAAGTACTTTCTTTGCTACTGGCAAACCCTTTCCACTCTGCATTGTCATTCAATTGCATTCCTCCTCTGCAGAGAGTTGTAAATTCAGAAAACAAGTGGTGTCTTGTTTGGAAGAGAATCATTTCTGAACCTACTTTGACACAGCTTCCTGCCCTGTAACTTACTTTGAAATTGTGTTACCTTATGGTTTTTAGCTTAAATAGGGCTCTCTGCTAAGGTCCGGTTCATCTGTCCTTGGGACTATCTAACCTTGAGCTATGCCAGCCAATAGAGCAAGGAGGTTTCTTTATACTTCCGTGTACATCTTTTTTATATGCACGTTATTATTTTTTTGTTAACAGAGAGTAATACGCTTTTATTGAGTTATGTAAAAATAGTATGATCAAGGCTAGACTGCTTAATGAAATAATAAGCTTCATTTGGAGTGTGAATCTGATTCCTTGCACTCCGTTGTGGTTTAGAAATGGGCTCTTTTATTTCACCAGAGAACTTTATGAGAAGATGATAAAAATACCACTCTTGTCTGTCTGAATTAATCATTTCACTTTTATGTCAAGTTTGTCCCCAAAGTATCGTCACTACCAAGAAAAGATGCAATATAAGTAGCATGTTGTTGATGTTGTTTGTTGAGTTAGTTCCAACCCAGAAAAGGCTGTATGGGCAACACAAGCAAACACGGCTCAGTCCCAGCGCCCTTCTCCCACTCACTTATATGTCTGCGCCCTGGTTGCAGCCACGGTGCTAATCCATCTCCGTGACGGTCCTCTGTGCCATGCATGATGTCCCTTTCGAAGGACTGTCCCTCCTGATAATGGGTTCAAAGTACTTGAGATAAAATCTTATTCTCCTTGTTTCTAAGGAGCATTCCCACTATACTTCTTTCAAGATATATTTGTTTATAATAGCATAGTAGAGGCAATATTTTCACATTAGGAAGATATACTTCCATAACTTATGAAACTCCCATAAGCTTTGGAAAATTGAAGTAAGGGTTTTTTAAAACCGATCATCTGTAGAACTATATGCTTTAAAAGTAACTAAAGAGATTTTGCTTCATTTTTCGACCTCAGAAAACATCCCAATGAGCATTCCATTCTCAAAGCCACTCGAAGACCAAGTGTGTGGATGACTCGAACAGACAGAGTGGAGCTGGGAGTCGGTCCTTAGTGGACACGTAAACCCATGACCCCTCTAGTGAGTGAGTCCTAAAGAGCCATGACTTGCTAAGATTTGGCAGAGTTCACATTCAGAAGAGAGACATTCTGAGTCTTCTCTTTAAATCCGGGGAGTCAAATACAGGATTTGCTTCTCTTTAAATCCTCAGGCTACTCGAGCATGAGAACTTCCACTGGGTCAAATGCCTGAGGGTGAGAGTAAGGGAGACTGTTTGCACGGGTTTAGGGTTTTGGTTTGTTTTTCTGGTGGAGGACAGAGAGATTCGTGTTAAGCGGTAGACTTCTCAAAGGGTTTTAGAGAAGTCAAGACCCAATTGGGGCTTCAGTTCCGTGCCAAGAAGGTGTTTGGGCCTGAAAGTCGTACCACCATTTGTGTAGCAGAGTGGTGAGTGTGAACGTGTACAAAGAAACATAACACAGATATACAAGAACCCGTGTATGTGTTGAGGCAATCCAGAGGGGGACAGTGATCCTGCTGCTTCTGGGTAAAACCTTTTTGTTGTTGCTAATTCTACATTTGAATGACTCCATAAGAAGTTGAAAGAAGACTGGAGAGTCTGACTCAGGAGTTTGGTGATGTTCCCGTGGGCCTGGGAAATCACCGGTGTCCACATCAGACATTGCTTTTCCTCTTCTGCGAAAGGGCGAGGTCTTTCCTAGATGCCACAGGCAGCATGGCCGCCCTGACGCCAACCTTGACTCAGAAGTCACCCACTGTTTCAGAGTTGAATTCTCTACCAGACCACCAACATTCTTGGTTATTTGTGCCATAGCTGCTTAGATGCCTGTGGAACTGTTTTTGCAATCATACTTGGATCAACAGTGTAGACACTTTCTTTATTCAACATCCACAAAAGGACAAGTTAGTTCTTGACATGCTTTTGGAGAATGGCTAGAAGCATATTTAAGCAAGTGCCTACCGTGTTACTGTGATCATCAAACACTAACTAAAGACACTGCTGGTCACTTATGGTGCCATGTAGAGAGCACAAGTGATAGCTATCTGATGAGTTGGAGGAGACCTAGTTATAGTTTGGTCAAATTTGAACAAGCGATTGATTTGTTATCAAAGTTATCAAGAAATTAAAATATATATATTCTAGCGGGAACATTCTGTTAGCAAGTTCACTTTAGGATGACTGCTGTATCTCATCAGAGTTTTAAAGAAACTATTTTGTTTATTACTTCGGTTCCCATTACAGACCTTGAACCTGTGACGTTTAGAACTGCGACATCCGGGACGGCATTAGGTATGACTCATGCCATTCGCCAGTTGCTTTGGTTGCTCATTGTGCAGGCCCTTCTCCATCAGCACGCCCATGGCTTCCTCATCATGAGCCCTGTCATCCCCTGCCCTCATCTATTCCATCACTCTCTTCAACTTAAGTTTACTCAAATCTCTGGAAAACAATGTTCCTGGTGCTTTTATGAGAGCCAGGCAGAAGCTTAGTTGAACACCTTTATCTGCCAGACGGTCCATTTGAAATGGTCACGCTCTCCCGTGCTTCGTGGAGCTCAGGCCAGCCCAGGGCTCGCTCTCGTCTAGGCTCAGCAGCAGTGACAGTCATTCTGCTCAGCTGCACATCTGTATTTCTAAATCTTTGTAGGACCTCTTGTTTCTTTGGTAGTAGCTTAAGTAGTAATGTAGTTTACCATTAATTTGAAAAGGGGATTCATTCAAAACTCAGATTTTAAGTTATCAAAAGAGGGTCTTTTCTTTGATGAGACCCTTTGCTGTGCTCTTATACTAGAGTGGAGGACTCCTTTCTCAACCACTTTTCTCCATCAGGAAGTTCCCTGAGTGCGTGATTGTAAGGGACAATCTTTATACCTTGAATGAAAACCCCAAACTTGCCTCCAGCATATCCTAAAGAATATTTTTTAAGGCACCGCTCAAAAGGAGTAAAATATTCAAACTATAAGGACAACTTCTAGAACCTTTAAACGCCTAAAACAGTGTGTTAAGTTTCTCAGTCCCCAGAGCCATATGACCTAGAGTGAGTAACAAGGCTTTTCTTTCTGCAGCTGCTACCACAGCCCAAGGACCCCGCCGAGTTAAAAAACCCAAATCCACACGGAGGCCAAAGAAACCTAAGATCAAACCGGGTAAATGTGCAACCCCTGGGCCTCGGGTTGTCCTCAGCAGTCCGTCCACATGAGTTCACCGGTGGGCTGTAAGAGCCCTCAGTCTCCCCAAGCAGGAAGCCACGAGGTAGCATCTCCTCTGCCCACTGGTCCAGGAGAATATGAACCCTGACTGGTGCTAACATGTCTTACTCTTCCGATGTAAGAAACTATTACCTCGGCTGTGTCTTTCTATAAGTCTGATGTGAATGGTAGAGGTGACTTTTCCTTGGTAGAACCAACATAATCAGTTTATGTAAGTGAACCAATTGTAAGCCCCTTCCACATCTTCAGACCATATGGCGACCTTGAGCCAGTTGTAGGAGACTGAGGTAATTTCTAAGCCAGCATCAAGGACAGAATAGGTTCCTGCCTGGCACAGTAGAGAAGAAGCATAAGACCGGATATGTGAGTGGAAGCACAGTCTTCCTTCTTGCATTCTATAAATATTAAGTAACCAGCTAGCAGAGTAGAGATGAAGGCGGGCTGGGATATTGTAGGGAAGGAATTGATCTTGGACTCACTACAGAATTGGCATGAGTGGAAGAAAGATGAAGCAAGAAGCACTGGACTCTGAGAGGTAACCTCGGGAGCATCCGACGTCGTTGCTGTCGCCTTGTTCTGGCCTCCATCAAGACTGATGCCGCATCGGCTCCCACAGACGGAGGGACGAGCGAGAGCAGCGGTTCTCAGTCTGGGAGTCGCGACCCCTTTGGAGGTCAAATGACCTTTTCACAGGGGTCGCCTGATTCATAACAGTAGCAAAATTAGAGTTATGAAGTAGCAACGAAAATAATTTTATGGTTGGGGGGTCACCACAACGTGAGGAAGTGTATTAAAGGATCACGGCATTAGGAAGGTTGAGAACCACTGATCTAGATCTTGTGCTCTTCTGTCCCTTGGTTTGAACAGAGGCCTAGACTCTATCCATGAGTTTTTGGCTAGATCAGCAGAGTCCACCTCAATGATTAATTTGTATATCTGTTTCAAACATATAAATTGTCTTTTGCATCCATACTTACTTAAAAATATTAAGTGCCCATGTTAAGCTTCCCATAGGAGAATAATTCATCACAGTTAATCAATTAGTCATGTTAATCATAATTTTAAAGATAATTTATTTTCTAAGTCTATAGCAGGTAAATGCCTGAAATTATTTTTCAGCCCATTGTTAGATACTTGGAAGAATTCTGTGTTGTCATCTTTGAGCATATCACAACCCAAGAGCTATCACTAATACTGACTATGCCCTGACTATAATTTGGTCAAAGCTTAAAAGAAGGGAAGGAGGGGGAAATCAATGCTTCCCCTTAGTTAAGAAGTTAACTGTTTTTTAAATTTTACTGTGGAAAGGTTTGCATTGCTGATATGATTGATTGGAGGTGAATATTTTAATGTCTTATGTGCTTTAAAAATCTCTTTGGTTGACCGTGTTTCTATTGTTGTGATTTAGTTCCGACTACAGGTCTTAAACCTGTCCCTCTAAAACCTGATGTTCCAGAAACGACACTAGGTAATTATATATTCCCCAGCTCTTCTCCTGCTTATTGTCCAGCCCAGAGTTTCTTGCTTCATGTGACTACAGTGTCCGTTTGTGTTGCCACTTTCCCCAAAGCGTGAAGACTCTTAAGACACAGTACCTGTTGTCTGTAAGAGTGCTAGCCACGAATGAGTCCAACTTAGGCTATTTGTCATGCAACCCACTTGAAATTGCGTCCTGTCGTGTGTGTTTTGATTAAAGGGTCCCTGGTCTCTCGTCTCTCACTTGGACAGAGAGCCATTATCTGCTCTCCTAGGCCGAATGAGGACTGTTGCCCTCTGCTCTTCTCTCTGCATGATGTTTTGTTGTTTTGTTTCCATTTGGGTAATAATTTGTTCTTATTTTTAAAATGACATAGAAACTGACAGATTGAATTATAGACCCTAGATTTAGTCTACAGCGCATACTCTCTGGTCTCTATAAAATGCAGCGATGGTTCTTGTGTTTTGGGTGCCTGGTGAAATTGCCGCATAAGACGCTGGTTATAATAACTAGGTCGTAACGACCTGGTATAACAAATGGCGTTCATCCTCAAAAGGAGCCCTGGTGGTGCTGTCAGGTAAGTGTGGGACTGCTAACTGCAAGGTCAGTGGCTCACCAGATGCTCCTTGGGAGAAAGATGAAGTTATTGAGTCTCAGGGAGATTTATAGTGTTAGAAAAACAATATAGGTCCCTCTGAGTCAGAATTGAGTAGATGGCAGTGGGTTTTTGGGTGGGACTCATCCTCAAAAGATCTTCAATTATAAGACAATATGTGGCCAAAACAATCTCAAACTAAAATGGCAACTATCCAACAAGTTGTAGAAAACCTAGAGTTACAGCTTCATGTATCCATTGCCCCAGAGTCATAAAAAATGCAGTTCTATAGTAACCCCAAGAATTCTTCCCTCCAGCTTCCAAAACATCAGAATGGACCTATCAACTCAGACTTAAAAGCACACCAAGTCCTGAAGCCCCTGAGTTAAAATCAGGTAAACATGTTTTCCTGGTTTGAAAAATCTCAGCAGCCCCCCTAGCAAGGACACAAGTGCAATCCCAGTGGTTGGGAGTAGCCATCGCTGTCCCTTATAAGAGTGGAGAGGATGAGGCATGATCAGTAGTGCCTCCCACTGTAGAGAAGACAAGAGGAACTCATTTGGACAAAAGGCATGGAGCAAGTGAGCACCTCCTGGTTCCTAGGCTTTGTCACTTTGTATTTTATGAACTTTCATTTACCCCTTGAAGTAAGTTACTTAGAAAAGTTAGCAGATTTAGCTCAAGTCAGCAAACCAATACATGCCTTTGCTATTCGCCCAGTCACATAGCACCTTTGGGAGCGATACGTTAGATGTGGAAATACATTTCAGGCCTCAAGTTTGCAAGATAGCTGAGAACAAGAGCCTTTTTAAATAGAGAACGATATGGCATTAGGCTGTATCTGTGGAAATATAAAGTTAACTGCTGGGTGCTACCAGTAAGATGTGCTGGTTACATGTCTGGAACAGGAAAGACAGATTAGGAAAGTATAGGAACTTGAAATCAATATAGTACAGGCATGAACAAGAGAAGGGGGATGAGTAAAATCAGAATGAGGGGGTGTGAGCAGAGACCGACCAGAGCAGAGAGCCTGGGAAAGAGGGTGCTTCAGGTCAAGGTGGTAGAACCTTTCTTTACCTGGGTGAGTCTATGGACTCACATGACAGGGGGGTCCTTAGGCCCCGAGGGAGCAGTTTGGATTTTCTCTTTGATTTTCTGCAGTAGACATCGGTATGTTATTCTTTCCACACGGATATGTGCTCCTTTTTTCCTTAGAACAGAGGATGCCCTACTTGATCCATTGCTAGTCTGCTCCCAAAGAGGAGTCCTCAGACATCTGACATGATCCATTTTGACATCTTACACGGAGTTAAATAGATAAAGAGGGGGACTTTTTTTTATTGACTTTGTGGAAACACATAGCAGGGCAAAGGCTATGAATGATTCTCTTGTGAAATAAACAGGTATTTGACGTGAGGATTTAGACGTCAGCTGTGTACTTCTCTGATCCACAATTGTTCTGTTGTTGGTATTTGTTTTAATGGCACTGCAATTCTAGAAACTATCATACTGGTAAGATTTACTCTGAATGTTTTCAAGAAAATGTTTCGGCTTTAATTTGAAATGATCATTTAATATTTTTGGTCAGTTCCTACTGAAGACCTTGAACCTGTTATGCACAGAACTGAGACTTGGTTGACAACACAAGGTAACCATTGTTATTGTCACAGCCAGTGCTTTGCCTGCTCAATGTCAAACTCATTCCATCTCCATTATAGCCGCTGGGCTCTTTTGCTTCCTGAAGCAACATCCCCGTCTTCTGTTGTCATTCCATCATCTTCTTCCTCTAGAAGTATTGAAGACTCAATGCTTAAAACAAGTTACCTCTTGTTTTTTAAGGAAGGCATGCATGAACCTGATTCACACCATCTGTTGAGTTTGTAGTCATCTGAAATTGTTTTGTTGCTCTGTGCTTTCTTCAACTAATGCTTTGTTAAAACCGAGTTTAAAAACAACCACTATGTGATGTCAGGCAGTTTTTTGTGGCTCTAAAGTTCTGCACTTTTTTGTCATCGTTGTTATCTGTTGTTGGTTGGTTGACATTTTAGTCGATTGTGTGTTGCTATTTTAGTATACTGCCAAAGAGATTGTTTCTGACCACCATGATACCATGATTCAGTGATCCTTTTAATCTTTTTATGCAATAAAAGAAGCCCTAGCATCTATGCTTAGCTTCTTAACAATTTAATTATATATATAATTCTTTCTCCCAATGAACTTTCGATTGTAAAAGAAGACATAGTATTACAGTACTAAGGGTGAATGTTTCCAATTAAAAAGGTAAAAGGATAAAATTCCCGAAAACCAAGAACTTCTAATCAGCTTTAAGAACCCCAGGGTCAGGTGTTACATAATGCACTGCAGATTCTACAGTAAGGAAAGGTTTTCTTTCTTCAGCTCCTAAAACGTCACAAAGGACCCATCATCACCTCTCAAACCTAAAAAGAAACCAGCCCCTGCATCACCTCTCACCAAACCGGGGGATGCAGGCTCCTGCATTGAGGATAGAATCCTAGTTGCTCCGGGAGGTCTGGGAGCAGTGCCTGCAGTGCACGGAATAGTCCAGATGAGCCGCAGGGGGGTGAAGGCATAGGCGTTATCTGCGTGAGCAAAGGAGAATATGGTTCGTGGAGGCCTGTATGGTGGCTGGATTTCTTGGGCTTTCTGCATAGAAGGCTCTTCTCTTTATACATTTGATTTACTTTTCTTATACCATACTTCTCTTCAAGATGAGATGTTTTAAATAAAAACAAGCATTTTTTTTTTCATTTCAAGAAACAAGCATGTATTAAATTCCTTCCATCTCTCCAGAGCCACATCAGAACCTGTGAGGATCCCATAGAAGCAAGAAGCTTGTTTTTATTTCCCAGTCTACAGTGCAGTCAGGTCAAAATCTGCCCCAGTTTGGAATAGCTTGTGCATGTGCATGGACTAGGCAGTGCATCGGCGGAAACGCACACTTGTTTTTGACGTACAGCTAACACCTGTGTGCTTAGAGAAAACGTTTGTGAAGGATGTCCATCGCTGCAGGACTCCCTTCAGAAGAAAACCCCAAACCAAACTCACTGCCATCGAGCTGATGCCTACCCGTTTGCAAGCCTGGAGGACAGAGCAGAACTCCCCTGTGGGCTTCTGACGCGTAACTCTTCATGGGAGTAGAAATCTGTATCTTTCTCCCACAGAGCGGCCGGTGGTTTCGAACTGCTGACCTCGTAGTTGTCAGCCCAATGCGTAATTACTCCACCACCAGGGCTCCTTTTCAGAAGAAGAGGAGCTAGCCAAATCAGAACGAAAGGATACATGAAGGAGAGTAAAAAGGATTGCTACCAGGATCCCAGTTCCTCCACGCATATTTATTCCAAACAAAACGTGTCCCGGTGACCCTCTCAGGAGCACCCTTCTCTCAGTCTCATAAGGCGCCTGAAAGAAAACGGGCAGCAACAAAAGTCCAGGGGAGACAGGGGCTTCTGAAGGTACCTCGCGGGCCCATTCCTTACAAGCCAGAAGTCAACTCAGAAAGTTGTGGTGACTGTCGGTTGGAATTCCAGCGGGGTCATTTTGATAGAGATGATCAGAATAGTCCTTAGAAGCAAGGATGGAGAGCCCGTGTCTCGTGTCCTTCAGACATGCTGTCGGGAGAGGGCGATCCCTGACAAGGACACCTGCTTTATGAAGCAGAGCGGCTGGAGAGAAGCCAGATGGACAGGCACAGTGGCTGCAAGCAGGGACTCAACCCTAGCAGTTGGGAGGCTGCTGCCGCGCCAGCGAGCGCTTGTTGTGTAGAGGGTCACTGGGTCACCGTGAGTTGGAACCAACTTGGCCTCTAAGACAACAACAATGGCCAACACTTTCTCTTAAAAGACCATTGCAAACAGTGCCACTGAGGAAAGGGGCGGGAAAGTTCCCGAGGGTGCATTTCCTGAAGACCCTGCGCCTGCTCGTTCTCCAAGGGTAGCCAGGGCTCCCCCTGCAGACTTCTTTCCCCAACTCAGAGCTCCTTTGAAAGAAGCACAATCTGAGTCCCCCGAGATGGCAAAGCGGTGTCACTTGGATGTGGTATAGATTAAAGAAGGCCTGCTGGCAGAGTGCGTTAAGGCCACCGGTTCATAACTCCTAGCCACGCCCCCTGGAGGACGATGACGTTTTTCTACCCCTGTGAAGATGGACAGTCTCAACAGCCCCAAGGCAGCTCTACCCTGTCCCACAGGCCACTGTGGGCTGAAGGGACTCGAGGGCAGTGGGTTTGAGTTCTGGAAATCAAAGAGTGCAGAGTGATTGGGGAAGGAGACCAATAAACATATATATCTCGCTGGAGAATATGTTAAGAAACAATAACTTCAACTTTGGTTATTTTTTAAAAAGAAGTCTTACTTTTTTACGTATCCTCGTATGTAGAGGCAACCAGAGGGCATGGCTTCCTGAAGCAACAGAGGTCCTGTGTCTAAGTAGCGTTGACGAGTTGCGCTTGCAAGAGGCCACCGAGTCCACAAGAAAGAAGCCCCTACAGGGCTTCCTCAGAAGTCTGCAGCTGACCCAAAGGCATTGGCAGCAGCCTTGCCTGCCAACCCAGGATGGTGCCTTTTGGGGATTAGATGAGAGGCACTCTCCTGGGAACCGCCCTTTGATACTACTGATCTTGCTTTCTTTTTTGAGTACCTTTGCTTCAGTTGAGGTCTCAAACTATTTCCAAGTAAGAGTTCTCAGCAAAATGAGCGTGCTTCAGTTTGCTGCTTCTTTGCTGTGTCTCCATTCAGACCTATTATTTATTATTCCCATTCTGATTTAGGCTTTTAAAATCAATATTTCCATATAAAAGCCAACCGATGCCAGAGTAGTTAGATAATTATATATGTGTGTGTGTGTGTGTGTGTGTTTAAGTCATTTTCTAGTGGAAGTCTTACACAATAGTTAAATATCCAAATGTAGACCCTTATCAGATTGCATTTGTTATAATGGATTATTTCATAAAAGGATCTTTGCCTGGTTAAAGCATGATCAAATCTTTAATTACATTTATTTTCAGGGAAGATAAGTATTGAAATAATGATAGCGTTAATTTAAGTAGTTCCCGTTACTGATCTTGTACCTGTTGCTCTTGGAACTCAAGCTGGAAAAACCATGAAAAATGAAAACGTATGCTCTTCACACATTCCATGTCCTGCTCACTGTCATCCTCATTCCATCCCCGCTGTGGTAATGGATTCTCTTACATCCTAACACCGCCTGTCCTCTGTTGTCATGCTATTAGTCTTTATCTACAAATTGTGCTAGGTTCTGTGCCGTGCCATCTGTTTAATATGAGTACTATACACGAACTAAGGTGCTCTGATTACACAGTGGTTAAGTGTTCAGCTACTGACTGTAAACGATCAACAGTTTAACAGCACCAGCTGCTTGGTGGGAGAAAGATGTGATGGTCTATTTCTACCGAGATTACAGCCTTGAAAAGCCCGTGGGGCAGTTCTAATGTGTCCTATGAGGTCACTATGAGTTGGCATCAACTAGATGGCAATGGGTATGCTGAACCCAATTTTAGGACACCATAGCTACCATGCAACTATTCAGCAATATGTCGTGGGATCATGTGTATTATTTAAACATTAGACCCAGGCTAGCCTTCATTAGTACTGTTTACTCCTCATCAGTTGTGGGAATACTGTGCTTCATCATTTATGTTCTTTTTTAATAGATTAACAGAAAAACCAAACGCATTGCCATCGAGTCAATGCTGACTCATAGCGACCCCTTGTGTGTTTTCTAAGACTGTAGCTGTGTATGGAGTAGAAAGCCTAGACTTTCTCCCTTGGAGCTCCCAGTGTCTCAAACTGCCACCATGCGGAACACAGCCCTGCGTGTAGCCACTACACCACCAAGGCTCTGAGATTAGAACTTAGAAAAGGCTTTCAAACTTCATGGAAAACGAGATTCAAAAGTCAATGGGATTTTCCACACTCTTCTTTGCATGTAATATGCCGATAGATTTGTTGTTTCTAGGAACACTGTGTTCCTATTTTAGTAAATTTTCAAATTTAGAAATGTGTTCAAGTCTTGAAAGTTTATGTGATGAGCCACCATGATAGAATAAGCTGATTCCCCCACTTGTCATAACACATGTTAACAGTATTTGTAAGTAAAATAGGAGCCCTGATTGTGTAGCAGTTATGAGTTGGGCTGTGAGCCACATGGTCGGCAGTTCAAAACCACAACAACTCCACTGGAGAAAGACTGGGCTTTCTACTCCTGTAAACAGCTGCAGTCTCAGAAACTCACAGGGGGTCGCTATGAGTCCATTGGCTTGATGGCCATGAGAATATATGTAAAATAGACTAAGAATTGCCTCTCCTGCAAACTAGACAAGAATATTTGGTGTAACTGGTGTAAAAGGTCGTCTAGCCCAGTACGCCTTACTAACAAGAATCAAATAATCCAGAAAATTTTCTTGCTAATTCTTAGTGATATTTGATAGAGAGTAAATGTTATGTTTAGCTTATGAGATGAATAGGTATCTGGTCACAGCTTGACCATGTGTGTATTTTCCTGTCAGTTCTGATGTTTTAAAATCAACTTGTGAAGTTAATATTCAAATTAATTTTAAAAATCTCTTCTATTTGTTTTCTTACTTTTGGCCAGTTCTCACTACAGTCTTTGAACCTGTCACTCTTAGAACCGAAGCTCCACAAACAACTTTAGGTAATGATATTCTATGTTTCTCAACTTGTTCCCCCACCTCATGGTCAAAGCCATTCCATCATCACCATCACAAAGATCATCATCATCATCATCATCATCACATTTTCATTAGTTTCTCATGACTTTCTGACCATCCTCTTTTGTCATTCAACTTTATTCTTCTTCTTAAGAGTACCAAGATCTTTTAAAAGAAGTCACCTGTGGTTTTTAAAAGAGCGACACACAGGTCTTGTTTAGAAGCTCGGTTAGCCATGGAACTTGTTTAATCTGTGTCGTGTACTTTTGTCTGTAAGGAGTGCCGCAGGCCCGAGGGTTGGTACTCCATGCTCTCGAAGGCGGGTGGTTCTAAGTCCCCCAACAGCTCGGGCGGAGAGGGACCGGCAGCGCTGCTCCAGGGAAGCAGACATCCTGGAAAACCCTTTGGGGCAGTTCTACTCCTTCCCCTGGGTCCAAATTTACTCAAAGGCTTCTAACAACAACAGAAGCACAGCTTGACTGGGTCATAGCAACTCGTATGAGACACAGGTCTTTCTGTACCTTTCTGAGTGTGTGCCCTGCGCCTCACTAGCCCGTCCGGCCAGTTCTAGCAGGGTTTTTAAGTCAGGTACTTATGATACTCTTCACTCCTTGACTTTATTTTACATGTGAGTTTTTCCTTCGAGAATCTTCAGTGATTTTTCTTTAATTAATGATATTGTCCACCTTAAAATACAAATGCCTTAATGTTTAGAAAACGTTAGAGCCTGGGTACCAAATCCACTTGCACTAGAGTAATCCAAAGTTTCTTCCTTCAGCTTCTAAAACATCAAAACGAACACGTCGCCCGCCTCGCAAATCTAAAACCACGCCAAGCCCCGAAGCATCTCAGAGCAGATCGGGTAAAATGGGGGAAACCCAGCAGCCTGTCCCAGTGGGGTCCCCACACAAGGTCAACATAGGAAACAGCAGCCGTCATGTTTCTTATATGAGTTAAGGAGACATGAGGAATGGCTGGCCACTGCTCTCTCTGGAGAGCTGTCCGGTAGAATATGACTGGGGACTTCGATGTCTACTCTTTCTGTAACTTGGCGTGTCTGGCTAATGCTCTCCTTTTTAAGATGTTTTTACAGCAAATTGGGCACACTTACCCATGGTTGTGCATAACTTTATCTGCATCCAGGTACATAGTCTATTTATTATAGCATGATTATGTACATAAAAACACGTTTTTCTTCAACTTTCAAGAGAAGAAGCAAGTTCTTCTCATATATATTGCCTAGCCAGATTTTCCAAGGCAAATACGTCCACAATAGAGTCTCAAAATTGAGCATAGGAACATTTCACATTGACTATATATGTATATATTATATATATATGTGTATATATATCTAATATATGTATATATGGTCATAGGCAATAACTGTCTTTACCAAATGTGGCATCAGTTTGATCGACTCTCTTCAATGAACTGTTTGTTTCCCATTGATTTGTGAATTTTAAAAAGTGATCCTTTAAAACTAGTATTTTTAAAGAAAAAATAAGGCTTTAGATACGTGTTTAAGCTTTCTTGTGTTCATGTTTTGCTTCTGATTATTTGCTGCTACAGGCTTTGATCCTGGGGTTCATAGTTCTGAGGCTCCAGGGACAACATTAGGTAAATGGCGCTTTGTGGTCTTCATGGAACCCTGTCACTGCCGTTGCCAGAGCCACTCCTGCTGACAAGACTGCTGCTGTCATTCCGTTGCATGCTTTGTCTTAAAAGTCGTCAGGATCCATAGGAATGTTACTTGTTGTTTGGAATAGATGTCTCTGGATTCCACTAAAGACCTCCATCTGCCATAACACCTTTCCTATCGCACCTGCACGATTCAGAGTTAAAGCTGAGGTCCAAATGAGGCTTCTTCTATTCGGTATATAGAATTCTAAAGCTGCAGCAATGCTGTACCATGAACTTTCTTTCAACAACTTACTTCTCATATGATCAGCATGATATTCTCATTCCTCTCTCCTGATTTTAAGGGCTGAGGAGTCCTGTTTCAATTGGTTTCCATCATTCCCTGAAACCACAGTCTTCCTCAGGATGAACAGCTGGCCCCCCGCCGTCGGCGTCGCGATTGCTGCTTTTCACCACACTTCAGCAATGATCCTCACTCTGTACTCAGGAAAGATCCTGCGCTCTATGGAATCATGCATAGCAGTAGTAATTTGTATAACAAATTAATTTTATGTCATTTTGGGATCTGATGGATCCTAATCATGACAAGGAACAAATGAAATGAATAAAGTAAAACATTTCACATGCAGAAATAAACTTTCTAAAAGTCCATAGCACAGTTTAGGAAATATTTTCACATACGAGATAATCAATGGTTTCCACGCTTACAAAAACTGTAGCCGCCCAGTATTTTTCACCTTTAGTTTTAAAAACGTGGCCAAAAAGTACCAGTCACTTCTCACACCATAAAGCATTCCTCTTTCTGAGCTGATGAGATAAACCAGGAAAAACTCTGGATTTTTCCGGTTTCTACTGCAGGGGAGCCTCGTGAGTGACAAGGCCAACCTGTGTCCCCCCTCTAGGTTCCCTAAGAGGGAAGTCCAAGTAGTTCCCAGGAAAACCGCACTTATCAGGTTGATCAGAAGGTTCATGGTTGGGGAAAATCTATGGCAGCCAAACTCATTTTGTGGCTTGCATATGGATTTTCTCTGAACAAGAAAGCATCGTGTCCAATCCTCTATTTCCTCTCACTCCTCAAGTTTGAAATAGTACTGCTGCTTTGGCTCAAGTAAGCACGCGTTTTCTTGCTCTCTGTGTCTACAACTGTGTGAAATGTCTGTAAACTTTGAATTTCAGTTAGTAAGCTAGGGTGAGAAGCAGAGATAGAAATCAGAGTAGGGGGCATATTTAACCTCTTCAGTAGAATACGGTGTAATTGTGAGGCATCAGTTAAGTCTAGATATGAGGTTATTTACTTATACAAGAACAGCTTGTTAAAGAGAGTGGCAAAATTATACTTAGCAAACACTTAAAGGAGCCCAGGATCAGTGTGGACTGAAAGAGCCTCATTGAGCTTTGAAATAAGTTTGGGGTTTAAATCATGGAGGCAGGAGTGGGGAGAGCAAAGATCAAAAAAGACAGGACCCCAGTTGAGTGGTCAACAGAGACGGAGAATAAAACCCTCCTAGATGTAGCCAACATTTTGTTGACGATATTACCCTGAAATCCGCTGCAGGACGCTCTTAGAAACCCACTTGAAAGCAGGCTCAGAAACGATCATCGATGAGACCCTTGTTTTTCAACAGAGGCAATGGCTTTTTCCCCAGAAGGTTGTTGTAAATCAGAGGTTGGCAAATTTTTTTCCATAGAGGTTTAGAAAATAAGTATTTTCCACTTGGTGAGCCATTCAGTTCCTGCCTCTACTACTCACTCCTGTTCAATGTCAATTATACAAAGAGCGATAGGAAGTTAAGCATGTCCTGAATCAGTTTAGTCCATGAGTATGTCTTTATTCAAATAAAATGGATCAATGGGCTCTGAAACTTGAATTTTATGTAACGGTCACATGCCACAAAGCATGGGTCTTCCATCATTTAAGAAAAGATACACGCCATAGGGAGGCCTGGAGGGTGTGCGAGAGCAGGCAGAAGTCCGGGTATGGAAAGCCATTCTTGGTTGGCTGCCCTGTCCTGTAAATCATGACTTCATGACTCTACATAAGGCTACAATATCCAGACGTATTTTGACAACTCATCGTCTTCTTTCAGCTCCCACCGAACCGCAAACTCCTCCTTTGAAACCAGTGACATCCCCACCAAGCCTAGAGATACCACCCAGTGAACCTGGTAACGTGATTTGTTTTTTCCTGGTCGTCTGGGTGCCTTGTAAGCTTCAGGAGACACCCTTCATGCTCTGTTTTGTTTTTCCAAAGATGAAAGTGTAAAAAGAACACACACAGAATATTATATATCCACACACACTCTCTGTATTATACAGTGCCTTTCCACGGTTGCATATTTGTGCTAATAATGTTTTATGAATGTCAATTGTGCTAGACAATTAATAGCGACCCTCATTTTACTGATTTTGCTTTGCATCCTTTTAGAAAGAATCAATTATCTTGATTTTTTTCCCTACCCTTGTTGTTCATGAACATTTGTGAATTTGTGGTTCCCCTCGTGGTCAGTTACATGTGTGATCTGCCATCTGAAAAGAACGCTGGTTTGGTAGAGACCAGCCAAGGAGGAGAAACTCCCACTTCAGGAAAGATGGCAGAACCCAGTATGAGCCTGAGCACACCGCCCTCCGGGCCGGAAACACTTGGGTGTGCGCTTCAGCAATGTCCGTGCTGTTGCTTGACTTTCTTTCTTGGGTTTTTGGAAACCTGTGAGTTTCCTCCTTCTTCCTTCCCCAGAGATTGTCATATCAAGGGGCTTCAAAAAGGTTGTGGAGCAATTACATTTCCTTTCATTCTGTTGTTCCATGCACTTTTGAAGTCCCCTCATCATTCCTTATCTCTGAATTAGCTCACTCGCATGATGGTACTGGTGAGAAAGGTACAACATACAGTTGGTAACAGAAACCTACAATACTGTGAATCCAGCTATTCAAACTTAATGCCAGGGATAATATCATTGCTATTATCATAAGCACTCACATTAAACACTTATTATTTGCAAAGCATTTGCTCACCTACTTGGCATGTATTAGTTTATTCAATGCACACCACAGCCCATTCTTGATCTATAAAACCATATTGTGTTTTTCATTAGTCTCTGATGCCCTGGAGTCTACTACATTTAGCTCGGAGTCATTAGTGGAGACCATAGGTAAAAATGGGTTTGGTGGGGGGGGGCATTTGTGATGTCCCATCCCATTGCTTATGTCATCTGTGGATGCCCTTGTGCTTTGTGACATTTCAGACACCTGCTCATCACATCACGTCTGTGTTCATCCAGGGGACCTTGATAGTTTTAAACATGATATCCAGTGTGTTGTGCCCATTTGTGGTCTTGCTATGCAAGTCTCACAACTCCCCCTGACTTAATTCACGCTCACTCTGAATGCAAACTTTAATTTTTCAATATTCTTCTCACTCTTTTCAATATGCATATGTCCACATATGCATATCCTGTTTTTTCAGTCTTGTGATCAGTTGTAGGATTGATCCCCATGATTTCTAAGGACTTTCTATCCTTTCATTTTATGTAACTCCTTACATAAAAATATGTAAGGAATGAAATTGTCTACTCTATGTTGGGTGGGTATTTTTGTAGTTGATTTCCCTGGTAGCATCTTGGCATCATTCCCTGCTTTCATTTCACGCTCCTAAATTATAGTCCTCTTCCTCATCTGCCTGAATGCACTTATTCTCAAGAACAAATCTGCTTAAGATCGCTAACCTCTCTTTTCAAACCACCAGCAGAGTTTGCAGTACTGGTGTGTGCTGGGCTCCCCACCACTACCGCTAACTGCCACCGTTTCTTCTCTAGCACCAGCCGACCCTTATTCTGTACACCCCACTCCCACAGCACCATTCCAGCCCTGGGAGCCAAAGACTGGAGCTGGTAATGGCTTTTGTTCTTCAATTCAATTGTTCAACGCATTTTTATCTTAGTGTATATTAGGCCAATGGAACATGCAGTAGTTCGAGCTATGGCATTTTGTATAACTGAGTCGATTTTAAGAACTATGTAAACCAAAGTTTAAAATGATAATCGACTCTTCTAATCTAGGAATAAATTGCCGTGTCTCTCCTGAAATCTAAGTATTAAAACATCACAACATTTAAAAGCCAATTAATAACAGTTGACACATAAATATTGAGTCTCATAGAACAATTTCTCCTCCTCCACCCCTTTCCTGGTTTTCTTTGTTCTCCTGTCTAAATTCATTATCCAATCTAAAAAATTGTGATACAAACCCTTAAGAGAACAAGGCTCTAGTTATTCAAAGAAAAATACTTGATAGAACTTAGCATATTGCAATTTTCAAAATGATTCTCCTTTGTTTTGCTACAGCTGTGGAGTCTATTACAGATGTGTCTGAAGCACCTGAGACCAGCATAGGTAATGGCATGACTTCAGCAATCCAACTCCAGGTGCTTCCTGCCCTCATGTCACCATCAGCTGAGAGCCACACGGGTTCTCTCACTGGGAATTCACATTGCAACACCATTCTTTGTCACGCAGCTAATTTTCCATCCGGAGCCTTGTATGCGTAACCACTGTCCCAGCAGCTCTGCCCTCGTCATTGTCCCATCGAGACTGGTCTCTTGAACTGTGAAGTCTTTTCGTGAACATTGAATGTTCTTCTAACTTGGTGCTGTGTTGACTATTTCAGATAACATTTGTGTGTGTCGTCTGTGTGTATAATGATCCCCTTCTACTTTATGGCCTAGTACCATGTTTTCCATTAACATGCGTTTTGCCACATTCGTTTACATGTTTTATTTTTGCTTCTTCAGTGTTTAAGTGAAACGGGATGCTTCTTGACTGGCTCCTGTGATAACGCAATTGGAACCCCCTTTTCTCCCTTTACTCTTGGGTATGAATATGAGTGGACTTTGAGATTTTCTTGGATAAATTATATTATCGTTAAATTCCACGTTTCCTTGAACTTTTCAAACCCCCACTATCTTTGTACTATTGGTGAAAAGGTAGGGTGCAAGGGGAATTTTTTAAGTGATAGTTCATGCTTTGAATGCATTTTGTAACCTCTGTACTTTGAAAATTGTTCTGCAATCTGGTTTCTATAAGTATTTTGAAGCAAAGTGCATTGGGAGGAGATAGGGGTGTTGTGTGGCTGTATACATGTAACTCCTCCCTGACCTCCTTCCTTTCCCCTTCCTCGGGTCCACCGTCCTGAAGGTTGTCAGGTGCTTGTTTTACCCAAGGCAGCCGTTTCCACTCCAGTTCCACAGAAGTATCGCCCCTGCCTTCCAAAACTAGCATCCTGCCCAGACCAGATGAGCAGCAGACCAACCCTGGTTGATACAGTGTTTTGTATTTCATATCCGAGATGACTTGATGTCTCAAACCTCTCCTGGTTATTCTTTTTAAGAACTACAATGATTAATACTATTGAAATGTGTAATTATAAGTGCTGCAACGAATGGGTTTTATTTTGTATCATTTTTCATGGAACTGCCTCATGACATGACTTTAGCTGCAGTCTCTGTATTGTTTTGTTTTTATATCGTGGGGGGAGCGAATAGCTTATCCACCAGACTCTCAGCTAGCACGGGATGTGAGAGTCGGAATACCACAAGCTTGAGAGAGATTCTAGTCATAAGATTTTAGGATTGGAGACTCTCAAGACTCAGGTATCCTTTGATGGAAAGCATAAGGCTGTAGAGCTAGTGATTAACAAAAAGGTCTCTAAATCTCCAGGCTCCAGACCACAAAAGCAGTGTAATCTCTATTGTTTCTTACCGCTCATTTTTCTACAGGCAAGGGGATTCCTTGAGCTCACAGAAGACCCTGTTTTCTTGATTTTTGCAGCAGAAAATGCCTCAGGAAATGTTGGTTGTCTAATCACCCTTTTTCTCCAGGCTTTGGTTAAGGTTGGAAGCAGCTTGGTCTTGATAAACACTTTGTTCCTTCTTACCACTCCTCAGCCCGATCACAAGGGCTAGTTGAGCCAAGTGAGACATTAGGTCTGCAGTAAACTTCCATCTGAGAACCACTCTCTTCTAGCAGGATACACTTTTAATTTCCTTAGTAGATAAAATAGTGCTTTTTACACTGAATGTCCAATTTCTTTGGATATTCTCAGCAAAAGACTAACTTTCTACTGCAATGTAGAGTTGATGTTCAATTTCTCTTCCTCAATATAGGCAGTAAAAATGATGTTTTACTTAACCAGCATATTTTTTACATTAGCACTCGATATTAAAATGCATCTATTTTCTAGGTATATTTGGGATCTAATATGAAACTTTTTAACTTATAAGACAATGTATCTATTTGTACTGAACATATTACATCTGGGGGTCTGAATAAATGGTGTCCACTTGTAATAACAGTAAGTTGCTGTTGCTGTTACATTTCTTTTTATCTATTGAACATATTTTAAGTGTGTTTTTCTAATGTCTTCACGGTTTCGTTTTGCCAGCTGGATGTCTGGAATGTCACTTCCTAAGATGTTGTCTGGTGGGGTGTCTTTCCTGTTACACAGGACAGTATCCTTGGATCGGATGTGGTTCTTTGGTAACTTTTATGACGTTACTTGCAGCGTATGCAAGTCTTGCGTCGCTCAACAAACATCTCTGATATCCTAGGCTTAGGCACGTGGGTTCTTGAGAGACTAAGAGCTGTAAACCTCTACGCTTTCTTTTAGCTCCCAAGCAGACACCCCGCGCTCCTTCCAAGCCCGAAGCATCGCCACCCCCAAGAATCCCACAAGTGCGCCCAGGTAAAATTTAAAACGTATACATATTTTGGCTTGAAAAAATTGAGGTTAGTGAGATTAGCTGTTCAACAGAATTATATCCCATTTGGTTTTTAACCTACATAAATCATATCTTCTTTATCCTAATAATGATATTTTTAGACTTTTATCTAAAGGTTACCGTGTTTAAACAACTTATTCCACAGAGATTTCCTAACGGTGGTTATAGTATTAGAACGGAGATGGAAAGGATGGATCTCTCTGGAAGAAAACTCTGTCTGCTCCCTTTGCTTCTCCCAACTTGCTAACAGTCTGTCCTCCTCTCCCATTGTCTCTGAGTGTGCCTTCCCTACTACTGGTCTAACCGGAGACTTTTCATCCATCCACACCGCTTTCAAAAAGTAGCTAAGGTGCACTGACATTGTATTCCTGAACGAAGACTTACATCTACAATTCATGATCTGGGGAAAGGAAAATATGAATAACATCAAGTTTATTATTTATTTCTTAATCTGACTATAATTCTGAACTCTTACTCCAAATCCTTATATCTCAGATTCTCTGAAGTTGGGAGCAGGGGAGTAGAGGGCAGGGAGAAAGTGTAGTTTAAGGTGCGTTGAGTATAACTGGGAAAAATGGAAATGAAATGACTCATATTTTGAGTTCTCTCTTTCAGCTCCTAAAGGGTCCCAGCGTGTAATTGCAAAACCCCAATCACCACCAAGCCCAGAAGTGTCATACACTACTCCTGGTAAATGCTTTGTTTTATGTTTAAGCCAAATGCATTCTATTGCCATGCTCCGCTGCAACGAAGCATGGAACTTGATTAGTCTGAGGTCAATAGTTCACTTACATTCATTCAAGTACTGTGATATATCATAAACTGCACAACTATTCAGAGAATCTCATAAGGTTGTCCAAATGCTTTTGTAAAGCTATTGGCACAATCAAAGGCTGAAAATTAGAATCAAATGCCTCTTCTAGAACTAAATTTATTTTGTTCTCTGACATGCAAGTAATAACTCATCAATGTTAACCAGGCTGTGCTCAAACATTAAGGGGAATGATGCCCAACTAGTCTCTTGGGATCCAAAATTGTACCATATTCAGCATTGTGTCCTTTTTCTGCCAAATTCTGCTTTCCAAATTTATAGAGCAGTAACTTGGTTTAAGAAATTTGTTTTTAATGTACAAAAGTGCTTGACACAATGGATGGATGGATAGATGGATTGTGATAAGGGTTGTGTGAACCCCCAATAAAATGATTTAAAAAGAAGAAGAAATTTGTTTCGTGACAAAAGGATTTCTTTAGCTACAAATCAACTTCTTTTCCATCACTCTGGGAAGGCCTTATGCCCATTGACAGAGAGCCAGGGAGTGATTTCATATTGGTGGAAGAGGCTAGGGGTGGGGGTACTTCAAGGATCCAGACCTTTTCTGGGACTATGGGGTCCCTGGATGGTTAATGCACTTGGCTGCTAGCCAAAGGTTGAAGTTTCAATTCACCCAGAAGTCGCTCAGAAGAAAGACCTGTCCATTTGCTTCCCCCAAAACCAGTCATTAAAACCCTACGGAGCACAGTTCAATTCCAACACACCGGAGGTGAGAGTAATCCAGTGGCAACTGGAACTGTGCCTATTTGCACACGATCCTCCGGTGGCTTTAGGAAGCCAATGCTAGCCAAACAACCCTCTAATCAACCAAACCAAACCCATAACTGAAACAGAAAAGTCTGCAGTGTGTGTTTGTTTTCTCCTCCTTCCTTTTCAGAGAACAACTGGTATCAATTCCTAGGTACTCTTAAGAGACTTAGGAGATAATCCCAGAGTCAATAGATTTGATACTGTAGCCTGGAATGATGGCATTTTGGAGACAAACCCAAATTCACTTTCCTATAATGTTTTCCAGATTGCTTTAATTTTTAAAAAACTAGTCTTATATCCCAACCAGAGTGTAAATCACGTGCATATTTAATATGAGCTAGTATGATTTGGTGTGAATATAGGACTGAATCCAGGACAGTGTTCTTGTATTGTTAAGTTTATCACCAGTTCTGCGCTGCCCTGTGCGGCTCATACGAGTCAGAATTGAATTGATGGTCAAGAGTTTGGGTTTTTGAGTTTAGAGAAGAGCATCATGCGTAGTAAAGAAGAGAATGCGAACAAGAGGAAGAGCCTTATCCCAGTGGATTGACACTGCTGCCGGCAACAATGGGCTCAACCTTGGCCAGGGAAATGGTCTCCCCAAGGCTGGTGGCCTGACTTCCTCTCAGCCTGGACCTAAAAATAGGGAGGCAGAAAGCAGTCAATAGAGACCCCAGGGGTGAAAGGGTCCACACGTCTGCATGGATTACTTTTCTAACAGAATAGTCTCTTTGAAACCTTATTGCAAACTTTACATTCTGCTGTGTTAACCAGATACAAAATAAAATAAACCCATTGCCATCAAGCCAATTCAAATGCACAGCGACCGTGGGATGGACAGGAAATGACCATGGCGTTTCCCAGGCTGCAATCTTCATGGGAGGCAGACACCCTCGTCTTTCTGCTGTGGAATGGCTGGTGGATTTGAACTGGTTAGCAGCCCAGTGAATACCCAGGGTTGCGTCCATAACAGATAATAGCACATTAATTCTCTCATATATTCTGGCGAAACAATTCATGCATTCGTTTCTATTTTGCACATATTGGACATTCTCTGCTTTGCAGAGTCTTGTGCTAGTTGAGTTTTTTTACTTAGAGTGGTATCATTCATTCAAAAAGACAATGTCGTGGATTTACTAATATTAACCCTAAATTAGTTCGCATAATTGAGTCTGAAATCTAATGGTGGTAAATGATATTACAAGGAAATAAGAGCTACCTTAACAAACTCATCTCTGATGAGTTTCCCCCAGCAGGGAAGACCAGGTTTAGACACCGTGGTTGTCTTCAGTAGTGTGCAGAGGAATGCCACACGGGGATTAGAAACGAAAACAAGCATGCCTTTCTTGGAGGTGGAGTCGACCAAGTAGGAGAATAATTCATATCCCTTTCCTCGGAATATTTTGATTTCTTTCCTTTCCACTGATTTCACCTGCTTTAGAAAGTGTGCTGTGGCTTAGTGTTAAATCAACGCTGCATGGTTCAAAAGGAAAGTGCCAATTGTTGCAGCAGGAATCCCCACTATCCGCTCCTATTTTACTTTATTTTCTTCCTGAGCCACAACTAACAGAGAGTAATGTATTTACAGTGTGGTGGATTTATTGCTCTCCTTTCTCTCGCCAGATTCTACTTCCCCAATCCCAGCTCCGCTTTGAAGACACTAGTTCTGTAACTAATTAGGGCATTTGTAAACTACAGGCTGTTTCATATGCTCATGACCTTGGCAGTATCGAGTCAAAGTGCCTCCTCCTCTAGCCCCCAGATAAACACTTGCCTTGATTTACAACTGGAAATTCTTAAGCGTTGACCATTCAAACCCCCCAAAACATTGTAAATCAAATATGAAACAGTTCACTCTACTCTTGGGTTTTTCTTAAATTGCAAACCACTGATTCCCTTGAAGTTCTAGTTTTCCTTTAAAGTTAAAAGATCAGATTTTCAGATACCCCTGGATATTACATTTTAATTTATGGAACCTATAACTAAATTAAGTTTGTATTCCAAGTGCCAAGTTAAAGTATTTAACTGGCCTTAATGGCCTAGACTAAACCAGTATGGTATAAAAGTTAAATGTGATCCAAAAAACAATAGAAAGTGAAAGTCTTATTATTTTCTGAGAATGTCTGTTTTATATAGCATATTTCTACACTGATGGTAAATTGGAATTAGAGACCAAAACTCGGGGGTATAAGTGTTTTCTTCATCTTTCTCTGAGACAGAGTTTAGCCTAAATCCTAAATTTTCCCCAGTATTGTATGGGATGGGAGAAAAAGGACACTGGTTACCAAGATACTCTGGTGTTGATGAAATCTTCGTTTGGTAGGAATGTCTTTAAGACAGAGAATAGGACTGAGAAAAGCCTCCTTGGGAGGAGACTCACTGTGCAGGTGAAAGAAGTACTTCTCCTAAAGAGGTTCCTGCAGAGAATCAAAGGGAGTAGCAAAAGGCAAGTCACCCAGCCATTTCCCCTAGCGGGAACTAAGATACCAAACCCCCTGCCCCTGTTGACTTTGCAAAAGTAGAAGCTGGCGCAGGCATTAAAAACACACTGGATATTCTGGACTGAGTATAATTCACTCTCTTGCTGGGCCGACATTTGTCTTTTGTTTGCATATTCTCGTGCAGCCCTGACCCCTAACGTTCTCAAACCCACAGGGTTCACAGGGACCACAAAAACAGAGACAACTAGCATTATCTAGCATTTAGCACGTGACAAGCAGACTCATACGGGGAGCTTTCTCTTAATGAAGGTGCCCCGGTGGCTAACAGCTCAGATGCTGATGGAACAGTGGACAATTCAAACCCACAGTCACTCCCTGGGTGAGGAGGTGTGGCATCTACATCCGTAAACATAATAGCTTTGGAAACACCATGGGACAGTTCTTCGGTCCTATTGGCTGGCAGTGAACGGAGTAGGCTCAATGGCAATGAACTTGGTTTTGATTATCTCCCAATGAATGGGTGATCCCTTTTGTTTATTTTCCACCCACAGCAGCAATGAGGGCCTTTGTAGAATGAAGCTGTTCTTCTCTTAGATATTCTAGATGTTTCCTTGTCTACTCAAGATGCTTCATGAGCATCGCTTGCTCAAGTGGCAGGCCATAATATATACGTTTTAGGTTGCTTGTTAGCAGTGGAACTGTGACATGGCAGCCAACCCTTATGGCCCAACCTGACTCTCTGTTCCAATGACTTTCTACATGATGTGAGAGGCACGCACCCTCAAATGTTTAATTGTAGCAGCCATCACCTCGCCCTTCCTTCCCTGGACAAGGCTTCAAAACAAGCTGTGAGCGGCTTGGTTTCTGTTTTATTCCCACCAGAACCTTCTCTACACCAGGTTTCCATTTCGAAAAGAATAGTCGTCACGATGTTGGAGTTTAACCATCATGAAGATAACTTTGCTTCAGTCGTCCTTTCTGGGATTTTACAGCGGGGTTGGGAGGGGGGTGGTTGTTACATTACATGCCCAGTGTGGCATTTGGCATACACAGTGTTTTATGTGCTGGGCTTCTACTTTCAGTGCCAGAAGATACTCTCCTTCCCCATAAACCAGACCCTGAAGTCTCTCTGAGTGAACCTGGTAAATAGATTATTTTATTTTCCAAACTACAAAGTGTATTTAAAAGAATTATCCTTGAAACGTATATTTTAATGGTTGTGATATCGAAGAAGACTGGAGGAAATGATGGATATGTAATCTATATTCCTCTGGTGGGGCTTTAATCATACAATAGGATGTGTTTTCTTGATTAATATGAGGAGAATGGTCTATAATTTGTTTTCCCCAGAAATGCATTTGCTGAATGAGAGTCATGCATTAATTATAAGATATAATTATTAACTGAGCTAACCATTTTCACCTTTGCTGACAATGTAAGTGTAGCTAGTCAGCTGTCATTATAAATGTTGTATACTTTTAAATACAAAATTTGGATACTGCTGGAAAATTGTTCTCAAAGTAACAGTGAATGAGAATTTTAAAGTTTGGGCTAAACTACGTTCTCTGTGCAACATCTAAAATGTAGACTTTCTTCATAGTTTTAGTGGTTGTTAGAGAATGTATCCAGGGTCAAATGGATGTATCTACAAGTGCAGAAACCAGGTTGTAGATCCATAATTCTTTCTTTCATTTGCTTTTGGCCTAGTTCTGCAACCCGCTACCTATAGAATTGATCCACCAACGACAACAATAGGTAATTGTTTTCGCAAATTGACCGAGTCTAATGTGTTGTTCCCTTTGTACCGTTCTAGTAAGTCTTTCTCACATGATCATGTGGCGACATGTCTCTTCTCAATCCATTTCATCATTGTGTTCTTTCACTTGCTTTCTCTTTTGGTTTCTTTTTACCACTGAAGACTTGACACTGCCTCCTTATGTTAATTGCTCCAAAGCAGAAAAGCAATGGTTCACAGCTATGAAGAAAGACTTTTTTCTGAATACAGAGCCAGCTCCGCACTGTATCTCTCTTCACCTACCTCATCTTGGCACTATGTTGAAAATGATCCAACTTTATTCATGTCCTTCTAGTTAAATTTTTTTCTGCCAGTTCAGTGGGTCTCAACTCTAGTGTTCCGTTTACATGTGGTGTGTTACAAGTGTCAAATATGCTGCAAGTTCTGCCTTCTTGCTGTTGGTTAAAATTCTAAAATTTGCCAATGATTTATATTTTCAAATAAACTTCAGAAGATGCAAGAACACCAACCCTATGCAAATGTTATTCTCATAATAAAATATGCTCCCTTAGCTGAGAGGCAGAGGGTAGAATAACAGTTAACATACCAGGACTGTGTCTAACCCGTGTTCCTTCCCAGTGGGCTGTGCTTATGGAGTGTGTCAGCCATAGAACGCCATTGGTGATGTGTCCTGGTGGAGAAACAGTTGAGAACCATTATTCTGAATCTCCACGGTCATTTTCCTAACATTTCTCTGTACATTTTTTTTCTCCATGACGCACTTATTGTTTTATCTTGTTGGCTGTCTATTTCGCATGCAGGCATCTTGGGAAATGCCCACCTGGTCTGGTGCTGGTCTGAATCCAGCAGTTCACACCTTGCTGCTTTTCTTTTGCAGCTTCTGGAGAGCCCTGGAGCATCCCTTTTAGACCGATGGCTTCACCTAGTCCCAGGCAAGAGGAACCGCAAGCCACGCAGGGTAAAATCTTGTTTTATTATTTCAACCAATGAGGGCCTTTTAGGGACCTCATAGAAATTCCCCTTAAAATAGTGAACTGTACATTCTGTTCATGGGTTGTCAAAGGTCTTTTTTTCCCATTATAAGACATGTGCTTACCGTTGGATTCTTTGGCAACGACTCTGTGTGTCAGCCATTGTACAGTCTGAAAAGAAAATGTTTTTAAACAAGATTTTGACAGAAGCCTAAGTACTCTAAAAGGAAAAAATTACTTGTAAACTATGTAAATGCTGTGTTTGGGGGTTCCTTTTGAACTGCGTTTGCAGTTGGAACTGTGTTTGGGTAGGAGACAAGGGAATCGGTCATCTAGAACTTACTGAGCTGGGTGCGAAGGGCAATGTTAAGAAATGAGAATTCTAAAACACAATTCTTGTCAAGGGTGAGTTCACATTCTAAACATCTCCCCATGCTGACAGGAGTCAGTGACAATAATGCTTCCTCTGGCTCAGCCAAAGTGCTGCCTAGAGTTCTTATTTAAATCACATAAAACTTCTGTGAGTCAGATTCTTTCACTTGCTCCATTTGAGTGAGTGGAAAACGGAGGAATAAAGACATTGAGCAATGTGACCCAGGGCACACAATTAGTATCAGAGCCAGGGTTGGAATTCATACACTTTTATCTGTGTCTGCAACAATCTCCCGATACAGTGAGTGTGACAGAGCCAGTCGCCAGATGAAGGAAGCCTCACAGTGGAAGTGACATTTGCACTGGGAGTTGGAGTGAGAACGGAAGGTTCACAAATGCAAGAGACAGGATGGGGGAGAGGCAGGGAATGGCGGCGTGACTAACCTGATGAGCTCCTGGGTTTCCTGGAGAAACCAGGATGAATGAAATCAGGCAGGTGAGCTAGGATGAGCATGGTATGCTGTGGAGTTCGGCAGGAACGTGTTCCAAGAGTGGAAAACCTGTTTTCCTGACTCTTGGGTGAAAACAAACCAGAAAACGAGTTCTAGGCTGAGTTTATCCGTTTCTCTATCCCGTCCATGGTGTAGCCCATAAGGTTAGGATTAAATCAGTGTCCGTACTTTCCTCCTTCCATCCCGCTTCAAATAAACCATCCTTTGTATTTCTCTGATGAAATAAAGTTATGGATCCTATTTAAAACGGCATGTTTTCTTAAGGAAATTCAATTTACAATTGAATTCAGTATTCAGCGTGCAGGTACAAAGACACCTTAGGGAATGAGTGGCTGCTGCTCATCCGTCCTCATGGGGGTCTGCAAAGTCAACACACCCTTGATGACAAAATCAAAAGTCCTTTTCAAGAAACTAAAAATGTCCCATTTCTGCTCTCTGTATTTTTAATATTTCTTACTGTGTACAAGCAAGTGCTATGACTTGTCAACTGCCAAAAGCATTTATGTTGCGAGCAGAATCAAGAGAATAAAACGGAGCAGCAGAATATTACCGTGTGTTAGGCGCACCAAGCGTTTCCTTGGGTCCAGGATCTGCATAATGTGTGGTGCCGTGATCTCAGGGTAAGATGGGGATGGAAGCTTGCCTGACTAATTTTTTACCAGGGAAAATGTGATCTGTGTCCACAATATGAACATAGAGATGTTTTCACACAAGGAAAATAGAATATTTGTTGCTGTATGATATAAATACACCTTTTTCACTTGTTTCATATCTTTAAGCTCATCTAACTTCTTTGTGAAATTTTGGGATCAGGAAGGAAAACTGAAGATGATAACACGTAAAGACAGCTGAGAAGCATTCAGAGAGGAACTGCATCGACGTATTCTTTTGTTATTAGGTGCCTTTGACTAGGTTCTGACTCACAGCGCCCCTATGTACAACAGAGCAAACCCTGCCCACTCCTGCACCACCCCACAGTACTGGTATGTTTGAGCGGTCGCAGTCGCTGAATTGATGCCCACGAAGGGGTCTCCCGCACTCTCACAGGACGAGTCTTTCCGGATAACGTGCCGAGATGAAGTCTGGTCACCCTCACTCACAAGGAGCATTCTGGCTGTTCTGAGATAGGGTTGTTGTCGCTTCTGGCAGCCCATGGTACTTCATTATTCTGCACCAACACTGTAATCCAAGTGTTATCAATTCTTCCTCAGTCTTCCCTTTTCCTCGTCCAACTTTCACACGCACACGAGGTGCTCATACATGGGTCAGGCACACTCATTGCTCAACTGACACCCTTGCTCTCCAATGCACGACGAGGTCTTCGGCAGCAGCTTTGGCCGATACAGGATGTCTTCTGAGTTCTCGACGGCTGCTTCCATTAGCATTGACTGTGAATCCAAATAGAATGAAGTCCTTGACAATGTCAGTCTTCTCTCTGTTGATCTTGAAATCTGTTGCTTCAATCGGGAGGGTTTTTACTCTCTCTGGGTTGAGGTGTACTCCATACCAAAGGCTGTAGTCTCTCAGCGTCATCAGTAAATGATTCGAATGAGGTGTGGTCCCTGCATATCATAGGAGGTTAGGGAGTCTTCCTCCCCTCCTGATGCCACAATCGCTTCTTTAGTCCAGCCTCTCTCACCATTTTCTCAGCATGCAGGTTGAATAAGTATGGAGAAAAGAGACAACCCGGACACACGTCTTTCCAGATTTTAGACCATGTTTAAAATATGGGGAGAGACATGCTGCCCTGTCCTTTTTTCTGTCAAGAAAAATGTGTCATTTTTCTAATCCAGTAACTGCCTCTTGGTTTGTGTATAGGTTCTGCATGCGTACAAAGAAATGAACATAATAATTATTAAAATAATATTGTTCGGAGACAGCAAATATAGTCAATATACAATAAATCATTATAATGTTTCATGTTTATAATGTTTCATTTCATTATAATGTTTCATATGTTTAAAGGCAATTTATCCTTTTATCATTTGATGGGGAAGAACAAAGTATGATATTTTTGACAAGTTTCCAGATAACTATTTCAAACAAGCCATCTTACTGTGCTTCTCCCCAGCAGAAACAGACCACTCTACCCAAGAACACTTCACAACTAAGACTCCACGAACACCTTATTTGACAAGGACGACGCCGGGTAAGACTACTTTCCTACCTCGGAACACTAACTTTTCCTTATCTGTTTCCAACCAGGAAAGACATTTTCTTTTCAGGGTGTAAATTTCCATTATAGTGAATGAGCTACCTATTTTTTTTTTCATTTCATCAATGCAGCACGTCAGCCAAACCTGAATACTTAAAATAAGTATTAGCTGAATGTAGAGAACACACATTCTTTTGTTAGAACTTATTGTTAAATGTACGATCACCTGCTTAATGCTAAAAGCTAAAAATAGAAGCTCTCTTTTTAATCACATCATCTGTTTCACACATTTAACATCTGATGAATTAAAGGTCTTATGATCTTTCCTCTCCTTCCTACCCTCCTCATCAGGAGAAAGATGGGGTTTTCTACTCCCATAAACAGTTGCAGTCCAGAAAACTCACAGGGGCCGTGCCCCCCTGTCCAATGGGGTTGCTAGGAGGTACTATTAACTGGATGGCAGTGAGCCACAACAAAAGCCCTCCTTCTCCCCCTGTCTCCTCGCTGTCCCCTCTGCCCTATCATACCCACCTCAGGTCAAAACACACTGATCTGGTGGTCTGGGCATTCCTGTGTGGTGAAAGCAGTTCACACATTCACCTGCTAATCAACTGAGTGGGAGTACGAGCCCACCCAGAAATGGACTGGCATCATACTTCTTAAAATCAGCCAATGAAAACCCTATGGGGCACTATTTTACTCTGGCATGGATTGGGTTGCCTTGAGTCTGAATTGACCTCATGACAGTTTGTTATTGTAGCTCAGGAAAGAAACTATTAAGAAAAATGTTTGTTTGGGAATTAGTCCAGGTTGACTAGAGAAACAAACCCAGAAACATTCATATGTGTGTAGAGAACTTTATATCAAAGAGCAATTATACATTAAGAAAACATCCCAGCCCAGTCCAGATCAAGTCCATATGTCTGATTTTACCCCATATGTCAATACTAGTCCATAAATTCCTCTTTAGACTCACACAGCAGATGCAATGATGCTGAATGCAGGAAGAATACAGGCCAGTCGGTGGAAAGTCTTGTGGATCTAGTGGTGGTGGAAGAATCTCAGTGCTGGCATGGGTCTTCACCTGGCTCCTCCAATCCCTGGCTGTATCAGTGTAGTTCCATGTGGCTTATCAGCAGAAAGACAAAGCAGAGAGAGTCTCCTCCCTCTAGGGAGGAATACAGGAGTTCCCAGAATCCTTAGGGGAAGGCCAGGCCCACACGGAGGCCTCATTGGCTATGGCCTGATTGACAGGCTACACTCCACCCCTTTGCAAGTTGACAGGAGATTATGTAACTGCCACAGCTTGTATAAGCGATGACAGTAGATAGGTTTTCTCTGGGATTTCCTACTTTCATTTCTACTTGAGGATTCCCTAATTTTTGGAAGCATCAACTCCACCACCAACCACCAGTGATTTTTGCAAAGTGAGTTCACCTACATGCAGCTGTGCATCAATTTTACGTTTGCAGAAGTCTTTCCCTTGTGGTTTCCTATCCTGCTTGGATGGACATGGGAATGTTCACCCAGCTCTCAGAGAGAATCATTCTTGCTGCTGTATTACAGAAAGAAAACTTCACTTATTTCACTTTGAGTCCCAAATCTCTACTGCCTAGGGAATGTTTAATGAAAACTGAGAACATTCATATTCAGTTGTATTATGAAATATAGTAGTGTCATTAAGGTATTGATATTATTTGAGTCTTCAGTCTAAAATTAAATTCCACAGTCTCTATAATTCTGTAACAGCCATCACATCATTAGAAGATAACGATTTAACTGTCTTTCATCCATGATTACTCTAGGTCTTTGCACATTTCATGATAATATTTGGCTTTATCGTCTTGAGATACCCGTGAAACTTTCTATTCAGCTCTTTGACTTCATCAATTCTTTCATAGTTCTTAGCACGTTTCTGAGTCTCATCTGACATCCACTGTGATCTTTTCTTTCTTTCCTATGTTTTTATATTAAGGGAGGGTCTGAGCAGAGGTCCACTCCCTCAGTGTAATGCCATATAAATATATGTACATAGGCCATCAACTCTTTTTATGGATTAATGTATTTACATACAGACACCCCTATGCCTGTACCTCCATTCCTAGTTTTGCTCCCTAGATCATTCCTCTGTTTCCTTGTACCTTCCTTCTTTTTTTTACCCCGTGATCACGCTCGCCCTCCTTCTGCCTCTAGTACTTCCTCTCAGCTAGATTGCTGTTGCACCAGCGCTCCCAGGATCTCTAGATGCACCTCATTGTTGGTTTTTATTGCCTAGTTGTTCTCCTGCTGATGCCGCTGTTTGTCCAGCGCACCTTTCCCCACCCCCTTCCCCATCCAAGGCTCTCCCCCCGCCCCCTGCTGGTCCCGTTGCTTTCTCCTTGAGCTTGCTTCCCAGGCCTGTCTTGTGTGAGTAGGCACAGCAGCAGACCAATCAAATAGGAAACAAATGGTTGACCGAAAAATCAGAGAGAGAGAAGTAAGAGGGAGAGAAAAAATCCAAAAAACAAAACAGAAACGAACAACAAAAAAACCCAAACAGAAACAAATAAACAAAAAAAAACCCAGAAAACACAACTACAGCAAAAACAAAAACATGCATGCTTTCAGGTCTGTCTGCTAAACTTTATGACGATCTCCCCACTGGTCCTGGGGGAATTCCGGGAACTGCCCTCCTAGCCTGAACTCTGTTTGAGGGGGCTCTTTCGGGGCTTTGTGGCTCGGCTCCCATGACTGATCTGTCTGTTGTGTTCCCTTCTTGGTTGGCCCCCTTTCCTGTGTTTTCCATGACCTTTTGCTCCCTTCATGTGTGATGTTTGTGATGTCATCCCATAGCTTCATCAAGTCTTCTGGTCATTAGTGTGCAAGGCTTCAAATCAGCTCTTGAGATCTTCTTGGAATTCAGGTGGCATAGACTCAAGGTCGTCTTCTGGCTCTTGTAGACGTGCTTTGATCTGCTCAGCTTCAACCTGAACTTACAGGTAGTCTGCTCCACAGTCAGCCTCTGTCCGGGGTCAGCTGCTGGCACCGAGCCTCTCCACCCCTCTTCCCACAGACACCACCAACCGCATTGCTGCGTCTTCTATTCCATGTGAGTTCTATTTGTAGGAAGAATGCACTGAGATGAGCTTAAATTAGAAAAAAGAATTTATATCAATGAAATAAATATAATTTTAAGGGATTCTTTTTGTCATTGAGGCAATATTTAATCTAAACAAATATTGTTGGGAATAGTATACTAAAAAGTATCTTAACTTTTTACCAATGGTCATTTACAAACATAAACAGAAGAAAAATAATGTTTGTTATTAATAAAGACCTCCCATAGCCATTGCCAGTTACAATTAACAACAAATGGTCAATTTATATTATAGCCACATACCCATCACATTTTTAATGTTTATTTTTATTTTTTTAAAGTCTCTTTAAAGTCTGATTTAATGGAAAATAGCTAGTTCTCATAAGCAAACAATGTTTTGCAGCAAAATTAATAAATAATTATAATAAACAGGACACTTATTTAAAACAACTATTTAAAGTGTGATTTTCAAGTGAGATAAAAGAGTTTCTATATTCTTATGGATTTCAAAATTCAAGAGAAAAGATCATAATTTCAGTGGAAAATAAGCACCAGTACTAGTACATGGGTAATCTTTGTCAAATTCCTTCTGAATTACATTTTTATTGGATATAGGTTTCAAAGCGGATTGAATTTATATCACGGACCTGATATGATTATTCGAATGGCCAGCGTGTTTATACATAGGCAGTGCTTGAGAATTTGAAGGTTACCGTTGCATATGGTTCTAATTTACCTTAGTTTACTGAGGAAGAAAGTGAGGCTGTCTGCTGCCAGAAAGATTGATAGTCTCAGAAACCGTACAGGAGGTCTCTATGAATGGGCATGGACTTACTGACAGTGAATTAGTGCCCGCCAAATGCCCCAAGTCTTTTCTGTCATCTAAAAGCAATCTAGCGTTGCAATGGATTTATATGAAAAGCTGGACTAGATTGAATTTACAGGGACTCTTACCACCATCCCAAAGGAAAACATCTGCCCATCATCATACATTTTAACGTTTGTGAAAATTAATTTTTATGACATCAGTACCTCTGTCCACTCTGGTTACTTTGTAAGGTCCATCTAACCAGCAGTTCTCAACCTGTGGGTTGCGACCCTTTTGGGGGTCGAATGACCCTTTCACAGGGGTTGCCCGATTCATAACAGTAGCAAAATTATAGTTATGAAGTAGCAACGGAAACAATTTTATTTGGGAGGGGGGTCACCACGACATAAGGAACTGTAATAAAGTACTGCGGCATCAGGAAGGTTGAGAAGCACTGATCTAACCTATAGAGAATGTCAATATCAAGCACTGATCTAAACCTATAGAGAATGTCAGTATCAGTTTGCTGCTTCGGGCTTGAAGTATGGCAAAACTCTACACATTACAGTCTTTACATTGGAAGCTTATAAATGAGCTACATTATGACCTATTTCACAGGTGTATTTTTTTTAACTTGGAAGCCACAGACATTGCTGATTTATGGTTATACGAATAACCACTCAAATATGTAAACAAAACCACCAGAATGTTGTAATGCACATAAGTTGTTTGCAAGAAAAAAAATTTTTCCAGTCTTACGTAAAGCGTTACCAGCAAAGTGAGTGTAGCAGGCAATGTGATGTGTTGAGGGAGGCAGAGGAGAGGAGGGATGGAATGGATGAAGCCCAGTAAGAATGCACATTTTAAAACTGTAGGAAGTAAAAAATATCTCAGCAGAGGCTCCCGGGAACTTGTTTGTTTACATCGATCATTTATTTATGTATTTATTTATTTATTTAACACGTCTTGGTTGGGAACTCTCGCTGTGTAGGTCCCTGGACCACGCAGGGGATAACAGGAGCAGAAAGTCAGGTCACCTGACCGCCTGAGAACTTGTCTGGGGTCTTGCTCCATGTTCTCTCTTTGGACGGTCAGGCTCTATCATTCCTA